AAGCACTAATGTGACTAAACATTTCAGCATCTTCGCCTTTTGCAGAATCGCAACAATTCGAAGCCTGTTCATAGCAGTTGCTTCTTGCGTTGTGGGTCTTCGTAGTCGCATCAAGTTGAATACAATGGAATGGGACACAGCAAAGATGAAGGAATGTTGTACAAGAGCTATCAATAAACAAAGACACTGAATATCCATGCCATGGTTAAGGGAAACTCAGTATTGAACATGTTACCGCAAAATGGACTACCACCATGAAAACATTATTTTGGAGGGTAGTCGAACCGTAACCATCCCATATATTTTTGGAGAACTTGGCGATCTCACTTCACCCCAATAACGAGAAGCGTCCTGTATAAAAGGTTAGTTCTGGGCAAGCTCACCTCATTCACATGGTATTGTGTTCATTTTGAGTCACAAAATTCTCTTTTTTGAAATTGATATAGCGTTCGTATACAAACGTAGCGGAGGGGACTCGTGAAAAAATATTTTCTACACGTGGAGTTTTGCAAAGGGAAAACTCCCAGATGAGTTTGCTCGTCGAGTCACAGAGACTGTAGGCCGTAAAAGTTTTTTTTTACCTCTGTTACGTGGAAAAAATACCGGGCCCCGATCCAAATACTTGCTATTTACTTTCGGAATAACTCATCATAAAGTGTTGCGCTTGAATGTCTCTGGCTGAGAATGGTGAATTCCCACAACTAGGGCTAAGTGGCATATAAATCCAACAACGATTCAGCCTTATCAAACAAAAAAAAATTTGTAGAGGATTGCTGTCACTTCATAACTATCCTCGTCTTCCTAGAGCGTTGTTGGCGTCTACAACGAAATCCGATGATTTTGACTCAGATGCTAAGTAGTGCTTGGAAACGGAGATCATAAAGCGAAACTCCCAAGATTCATCCGCATACGGTATGCTTCAATCGATATTCAGGTGTTAAAGAAAACATAAAACAACATAAACCAATGCTACAGCATTCATTTACACCTATTTGCATGATCTGACGCCACATACCATACGAATCGCAGCAGTCCTTTTATCCGATTGCTGTCTCATGTACCAAAATGTTTCTTTTCCTCTCGATCGTCATCCACAAATGTCCCCAATTTTTGGCCGTGGGCTCGACTCTTTCATGAAAACTTCTGATCCTCTTTATGAACGTAGTTGAATGCCGGTCAACTCGATCCTCCCTGGGCTCCTGAGACAGCTGTGCCATGGAGTATTTTAGAGTGGGCATAAAATACGAGCGTAAATGTATAATTTAATATAACAACAAAACACTGTAAACTGCATGCAACCATGCCACTGATTTCCGAACCACAGCAAAACCATAGAGTGAACAACGACTATAATGAACACATGAATAGACTTCCTTCACATAAGATTACTAAAATAAAATAAATAAAATCCGCACGTGTAAAACCATGGTTTCGAGGTTTATCGTGTTGGAGTGTTGTCTACAGCATAACAACAACAAAACAGAATAGGAGAAAAGAACAAAGAACAACATCCTGGATTTCCATAGAACATCTCACTTAGGCAAAAACGAACGCTTGTTGTTTTGATTGACTGCGACGAACTCTCCAATAATAACAACAATAACTGACATCGAAACAAAACAATAAAATGACTGCCACATCCTAAACCGATCTCCAAAATTTCGAAATGCTTTTTGAAGTTTTGAAGCGGATAAGACCCTAGTATAGCTTCTCATTTTGTTTTTAGATACCTAAAATACAGTGCCAAATTTCACCACGTCCATATTTAGTAGAACATTACTACTTCATTGAATGGGATAACGCGTGACTACCGGTTTTTCTTCTTCTTCTTGCGTCGGAATCTTCTCATGTTTAATTGATGGGTGGTGATAAGCTTACGCGCTTTCCTTTTCAGCATTTCGGCTTCAATTATGTTCTCTTCCAAGGCATCCAGACTGTTCGTAGACTTAGAAGCAACCTACAGAACAAAAGTGTTTAAAAAAAGGCAGACTCCAGGGCACAATTTGTGAACTGAACTAGCAAAGTACTGAAAAAAAACGGAAACTGGATTCTGTCGATTACGTTCGTTCTCAACAAACTTCTTCGTATATCATGAATGTAGTATCATAATGTTCCTTGAAGACATTTATGAAGCTCAGTCTACTACTCTGTAACACCTTAGAATTCCGATAGGATGCTTCCAAACATCGAGAAGCGGTACGATGGCAGCAGTTTCATGCATTGCAGCATCATTTAAATGCTGATGACATCAGACGTTTCTGCCCGAAAAACCAAACTAAGAGAAAACCAAATTAAAGAAATGTGGCCGTTCTACAGAAACTCAGCAGAACGGCGGAAGATCCTATTATCTGAGAACTTTCAGGAAAAAAACGAATGCAATCATGCAATCAGCAAAACCCATGACATTAAACTTAACTGGCACACACACTGAGCGCTCCTAGCGATGCCAGTGGGTGAGATGAAATAGTCAGTGAAAGGCAATCAAACCTCAGTTTTTGACGGAAGTCATGTGCGTCGGAACGCTATAATGCGACACACAATAAAAACTACTCCTTATTCCGAACAATAGGGCAATTTCCTCCAACACCACTCCTGAGCACACGAATCGCCTCAAATGACGTTGTTCATGGATCTATAGTTTGTTCCCCTACCACAAATATTGTGTCAGGTTCGAGTCCGAAATTGTACTCAACGACTAACAATTTACAATATATTTACGGAGAAAAAAATGACAGAGAAGGACCGATGACAAGACACTCTTCTTCGGACGAGTTTGTTTTTCAAACTAAAGGGAGTGTTGCTAGTGGGAAAGGCATAACGATAACGAGAGTTCACAAATTAACAAAGCACTAGGATGTCTCTGTATCCCGAGGCGTCTCGCATGAGTCCTATGGCAACGCCTTGCGTACTAATAAGGTAGCACAAAAACCGTTACCAATGAGGTATCAGAATGGACCGTACAATTAGTGAGTTGAGCTGAGGAAAACGATGCACACTGCTAACCTTTTATTTGCTGCCTAGTAACTATAGTTCAGTGAAAAATTATAGTAGGCAGGAAATAAAGGGTTAACATTGTGATTACGACATCCTCAACTTAAATGGGTTAAATGTCGATGTGTGCTCTCCAGATCAATCCCGCTGATGGGTGATTGCTGATGGCAGCGTTAGGTAGAAAACTAGCTGAGAGAAACGCAAAGCAATGGCCACGTCGTGCAGCGTATAATATGCGAGCCCACGAAAAGTGCAATCGTGGTTCGGTCTGGGTCGGGGTCCAAGTTTTGCGAATATCTCATCATCGTTGTGGTTAATACGTAAAGATATTAACGGCTACCAACTTCACTACCTTAACCTCAACATTCTACAACAACATTGTAGTAAAAAAGTGGCTTCGATAAAGAGAATTAATAACGCCGAAACTATTCAGCTCCACCTTGAGAATACCCTGCTGAAACAAGAATTAGATAAAATGCGGATGAAAATGAACGCCTGTAGCTTTATCACTCTCACTTTGTAGATAACACGTTTGGTAAACGAATGACGGTTGATTCCCACAGCCTGCGGAAAAATCCGTCCTCAGTTCATCTCAAAAAACGCTCGTCAAAAGCCGCATTCACATTTAGAGGAAACCAAGCTTCATATCTGCGCAAGACAAAACCAAAGGCAACACAGCGTCAGAGGTGTGGTGAAAACGACAGGAAATACAGGACTCTCCTCATCTTTTTCCACCTGTAACACTCTTGTTTTAACGCTTGTATAAACAATTTGGATGAAAGAGTATTCAGTGTTTAAGGCACTTCCCGAGATTGCAATCGCAAAAATATCTGTTACTACGGAATGGCGAGAAGAAATCCGAAAATGTACGGTGGCAAACAAAGGTGAAATCTCTTAAACGAGTCAGCAGTACTCACTTGGCAACTACGACAAGAGAAAATTGAGCATGGAAATGCTCGCTCTAATAGCGTGATGTAACCAATAGCTGGACAAGTAGGTGATTCTGATTCAGTGAAGTGATTCCTTATATAAGATTTAATTATTAAGAATTGACGACGAACCAGAGATCACCATTAAGATCAAGGCCTCACCTTTGCATATTTCGCGACAATCTCAGGATTGATGTAGCGGGTTTTCTAAAAAGAAAAACAAATATCCTCATGCTTACTAATCCACAAATTGTAAAGTAAGTCTAAAAAATAAGGCATAGTAGATTTCTTGTACAATTTCTTCCTCGATAAATTATCATGAAAAGAAACTTTTTATAAAATAACTATAAGAAACATCGCAGTACCGGAACATTGACTCTGTCAAGACTTGGCAACGATTCTGCGAGCTCCGCTCGTAATTCAGCTTGCAACTCAAACTCCTTAGTGCGAATTGAGTCCATTTCCGCATTTGCATTTTCTCGCTCAGCTTTTCTTAAAATCAGCTGTAGATTTGAACGGTACTTTTTAACTCCTCAATGGTGAAAAACTCTATGTGAATTAAGATTAAATCAATAATGGGGAAGATATTGACACATTTAAGCTGCTGTAGCATAGCGGTATCCATTACTGTAAGATGTCAAACCTCAAATCATCCATTTCCAAATCTGCTTCTTCTACAACCTTACCGAACCAGCTCTCAGATAAGCGAATCTGAAAAGAAGACCAACAGGATTACAAGATGGTAACCGACAAAACAAAAACTATAATTAGCGAACAACCTTTAGACAGAAATATCCTGCTTAAGGATTTTTTTTCTTCTTTATAAATATCGTTTAAAGCCGGCTGAGTTTTCCCTAGAAACCCGGGATAGCTACATTTACAGCCTTCTCAAGTTTTCACAATAGCCAATCGCCAACCTTTGTGGACCGCAGACAAGTCTTTCCAGACAAGTCTGATCTTAATTTGTCAACGCCGAGAGTGCAGGCCCAGAACCAAACCAGTAATATTGCATAGAATAAGAATTGTAGCTTATATGATATAGTGTACGTTGGCCGATGACAGTGTAAACAAATATTACATTCAATAATTGAAACCGCTCACTTTTTTGCTTCTATGGGCCAAGCTATTAAGAGTCGAGGCCAATCTAACACGTGTGATTAACCTTTTCATCAACTCAGGGCAGTCTATAGGGAACACTGGCAGATCTTTTTCTGAAATACGTAGAATCAGATATGAATTCGGGTTCACGTAAACCGCTGATCATCTCAATACCTCTATTCAAATTTTTACACAATTTGTGGTATAAATGAGAATCCTTTGAGTCGACGATGAGGACTGAAAGGCCTTGTCGTAGTGCTCGAGCTGTTCGACCTGATCGATGAATGTAAATCTGAAAACATTAGGACTACCTTTTACTTCAAACACATTTTCACTACCGTCACAAGACAAACCAGTTACTTACTTCAGCAGTTTTTGGCACTTGATAATGAATAACATTGTCGATACCTTGAATATCTAACCCTCGAGCAGCAACATCCGTGGCCAATAGCACACTTCTTGAATCAGCTGTAAAACGAAATGCGGTAAAGTAAGGCAAGGTATTAAGTTACTACTACTAATATTAATTACTAACAAAAATGAATTACTAAATCTACAATTATGTTAAGATCATTATGAAGATGAAATAGAATATACGGTTGTTTTAAGTCGAATAAGATTTTCTTAGTAAATAGCTCACCTAGATATTTTTCTATATCGCAGTGAAGGCAAGCTTTACCTGTAAACTTCTCCAGATTCTTCAGTCGCACCTTCTGTTCCATTTTAGCGTGAATCATCAACGGCTGCAGTTTCAGTAGTTTTAAAATACCATACAACCGCCGTGATGCATCTACAGAATTGGTAAAAACTAACGTTCTTCCTTTATAGCGCTCTAGTAGGTAAACTATCGTGGTATCCTTAAAAAATAAGATAATCCAGAACAATATCTTTTCTAATCCTAACAAATAGTAAGATTTACTTTTCCTAGAAGATTCGAACAGTTCATTCTCGTCTCTACGAGCGTTTCAGCTGTACCGAAAGATCTAGTTATATCCACAATTTTACACTCAGGACGCATTCCCGTCAGATGAATTAGTTGCACTGCAAATACTTAGTCAGTTCGTTGTCTCCACGAAAGCGTCATATTATTAAAAACATATTGTATATGAGGAGCATGTGTGGCGCAGTGGTTCGGAGGTGCCCTGCAACACATATGGGGTCTATCCTCGCGCCCCTAGTCCACAGGGGGAGGGGGAGGGGAGGAGGAGGGGGAGGGGGAAGGTGGGGTAGTAGCAGCACTGGCTCGATACATCGGCAAGCCAACGCGAGTCATTGTAAAGGCCTAAAAAATGCATTCAGTCATCTCCAGCGATACTTAATGAAGTCGAATGCATGGCACATCCCTCAGGGATTCATCAACACCGAGAGCTTTACCGCTTATCCTTTATGTTGTGTTTGACCGATATGATCTTTCACTCACGCTTTTTGGTGGGTTTCAATGATTAAGAACACTTTGTCCTAACCTTTATCGAGTACGAAAAAGCGTTGAAGTCGAGATAAATGCAATCCTATCGGTACTCGCCGGTCAAAGTAGACCCGTCCTATACAGCCAGTTGTAATCGGAATTTCAGCAAAAAAATACCCTTCCATCCACATTTTACCATAGCCATAGGAAAAAATTCGATATTGCGACACAATATCGCCAAAACTGTGTAGTGCTGCACTGCAGTGAATAATGAAGTCACTCCAGAGATTGAGAAAAGCATACGTCTCGATGGAAAATTCCTATCAAGTTTTCGTTTCGCGGTTGACGTCGTTATCTTTTCGATGAAGCAGATTCTATGCTAAAAGGGCTCAACGAATCATGAAAAAGATTGGGCTACACATAAACACGACGAAAAACAGGTTCATGAACAACCTACAAGGTGGCGGCGAAGAAATTGAACTCCATAGTTGTCTGATTGTAGGAGTTTCCTTGCACGTATAAACTGAGATTAATGAACATGGAGGACAACATTAGCGAGAAGGAGAGCAGCATGGGGAGCGCTCGAGCTTCTCAAAGAAATCATCGACCAACTGAAGGACCCGAAAATCAGCGCGCACCTTTTCCATTAAACAGCTCTCTCAATGCCCAATTTTGCAGCAAGGACGGGCGCTGCTACTTCAACCACGTTTAGACTTTCCGCACTATCCAAGAGCGCTTGAACGGTACCTTCTGGAATTTAATAACGTCTAGCCGGAATGTGAAGCTCAATTTTTCGGACCTGTTTTGTCTTCGACATCCAAAAAAATACATATCGATGGCAAAGCAGAGATGACCCGGTAATATGAGAAGAAGAACGAATGAGAAATGGACAAAAAGAAAGCGGAATGGACTCCGTGAGGATTAGAGCGGTCAATTGGAAGAAGGAAGGAAAAAAATGAGATTTCTATTTAAGAAAAAAGAGATGAGTAGCCGCAAAAATCGTCGAAATCACAGGAATACTTACCGTCCTGTCTGAATATGATTGATAAGACATTAAACCTCACTCTTATCCACAAATCAAGGTAAAAGGTGCTAGCAAAGCTATATTGGGAACACAGAGAAAAAGACAGATGATTCCCTAATCTACGTACGAAACCGACCACTTCTACTAATGGCAACTGAGAGGTAGAGAAACAAATGGATGCAGTCCTGGGACCCGCAAAACATGTGAAAATGTGTAGCAAACGTATGCCGGTATGTGAAAGTAGCTCAAAATGTCATCGTTGTTTTAGCCAATAATATAACGTTTACTTATTTTTTGCTGCGGTGTGAATTCCTTAGACGTCTTTCCATCTCTTGATCGAACATGGTTAACGTACGTCAACGTTGCTGAGAAAACTAACGTCTGCAGTTTCCCGATAGCAGACCTTAAAAATTCATCATATTACTGAATTCGATGATTGAATTGAATGACAGATCCAAAATAAAAGATAAAACTCTCGTTGTTGATCAATCCCTCAGGGAAGCGCCATGCATTCGACTTCATTAAACATCGTTGGAGGTGATTGAATGCATGTCTGGCCTTTACAATGACTTGCGGTGGCCTACCGATGTACCGGACCAGTGTGCTTTCCTCCCAGACAAGTCGTCTGGTATCAATTTGCCGGCCACCGAGAGATGAAAGGCTTGATGAGCCAGGAGCGCGGGTATCGATCCCATGTGTGTTGCAGAGTGCCTCCCACCACTGGGCCACGCTGCGCAGATTCAAAATAGGTATTCTAAAGCATGCTGCTTCCTAAGTACTGGTCATAACTGGTTAATGGTGGCAAAGATTTTCATAGTTGAAACAGTGGATGCACACCACTTAGGGAACAACAGCTTGTAAAGTGCTTGAGTCGCTGCGTAAGTAATCTATTCTCATTCATCAATTGGACTAAAACTTGCTAAAACGATTCCACCAACACTGCTCTCACTTTCTAACGCGTTTTAAAATATCTTCCATTTCTTCGAAATGTCCTTTTTCAATCATTCGATCTGTTTCGTCGATCACCAGGCACAGTAGACCTGTCCAGTCAGCCAGATATGGACACACAGGCTCGTCTTCGGTCTTAAACGCGAAATCTCAGGACTATGTCATGTTGAAAAACATCTGAACACATACCACATATTGCATCATCGCCCATAGGCGTCCTGGAGTTGCAACAATAACTTCGGGCATTTCTTTCTTGAGAATACGTGCTTGTCGTACTTGTGCCAACCCTCCTACAATTGGAAATGCCTGAAAACCACCGAATTTTGAGATGATCGGGTTTCTCTAAATTAGTTGCAGACCCTAAAAAAGACAAAATTATGCAGTGATTTGCCCTATAATTCGAAATGTGCAGCCCAGTCTTGACCGTCTTTGACCAACATGTACGAATACAATTCCAATCGTTTCCCATGTGTTTCGACGTTTTTGCAAGTAGCTACATTTTAAGAGAAGCAAAAGCGGATACATTTGCATATTCCTTTCGGATAAAATGGAAAAATCACCTTGAATCTCGTGTGCCTCAGTAACCCAGTCAAATGCTTCATAACTTGCATAACCAACTCCCTGGTAGGTGCGAGGACCAATGCCTTGGGGCCGGTCTTAATTCGATAAGCATCTTCTGGCATTTCGAGAAGTCGAGCCGTCAACGGAATTCCATAAGCTAGCGTTTTTCCACTACCCTAAAAATATTGAATAGTTAGCAACGATAATATATGATTTAAATTCATTTCGTCAAACTAATACTATGTAAGCAAGAATCCTTACTGTTTCTGCAGCACCAAGGACGTCACAACGATCACGCAAAGCCATTGGAAGGACCAGTCGTTGGATTTCAGTCGGACTTTCAAACCTCAATGGTCAAAACAACACTTAACAGAATTTCACCCAAAACATTCTACATTATACGGTAAGAGAATCAGGAAATTGGATTTGTTCTCAGTAAGAATTATTAGAACAACGGCAAAACGACGAACAATTGACCTATTAATATACGACCGTTTCTGCGTGATTAAGCTCGCTAAAGTATGCCTACCCCATATCCATGATTGCCTTCAATATCGGATCGGGAAGGTAGAATTCCCTCCAATTCTCACTGTTTACATTTCCTAGAAGTGCGCATTTATAAAACTTATTCTTATTCAAAGACCGACTTTCCTTTAACCTCGGTATTACAAATCAACATGTGTTTAAATTGTTGAGCTTACACGATGTTGATAAGCTTTATTCGACTGCGTTTCGACGTCTTCGTCTTTATCGGAGCTGATGACCTGAGTCGATAATCCACTCGTCTTCGTTGTCATCAGAGCAGATAATACAAGTTGGAAATGCATCCACGTCTTTCTCTTCATCAGAGCCAATGATCCGAGTCGATAGTCCACTTTTTTTCATTTCGAACACTTTATTTTAAAAAAGTGTTCATAAAAAAATTGCAGCAGCAGACTACTACGCTCGTCGGTCCAAACTGTTAGACGATTGCTTTTACTCTGCAGCACAAAAATGCACGAGATCCGCTCTCTGGTTCATCAAAGCTTGAAGGTATGTGCTTCGTCGCGACGAAACAAACAATTAGCAAGGCCATCACAACGTAGAAGGTCAGAAAGGACGTTCTGATCATCTTCGCAAGCTAGAAGATGTACAAACAATATTCTGAAGGAACAATGAAGAAGACGAAGACGTCGAAACGTTAGCCGAATAAACCCTGTTATCAACCTCGTGCAAGCTCAACAATTTGAACACATGTTTATTCATATGCACTCGAATCATGTCGTATTGTGAAAATGCTGGACAACAAACTCACCAAAGCCCTCATCCTTTTCAATATCATTTGCATTTTTTTCCACCTCATCACTTTCTTGCATTGATGGTGAAGCGAATGAAGCTTTCGCCACTATGGGAAAATGTTCCACAGTTTCTTCAGGAGCACGCTTCAGCTTTTTTGTTTCTTCGAATTGAACAATTTTCTCGCCTTTGCGTTTTTTTCTAATCTAAATTCAGAAGTTGAGTTCAAATTAAAATGATATTTTCGTCGAATAATGTATAACTCGAATACAGAATAAAGTTTTTTCGGAGGAAACCCACATCACACTTCTATGAAGACCAAACTGCCCTTTAGCACATTTTCTCGTTTTCACTCATCAGTTGCTCAGAAACTCAAACTTAATTTATTAAAGGTTATGTATTTCACTGCATTAGTAAGAGTGCGTGTATAGCAATGGTTGGAGGCGCCCTGCAATACACGTGAGATGGATCCCCGCGCCCCACGCCCATCAAGCCCTCTAACCCTCCGGGGTCAGCAAATTGGAACTACACTTGTCTGGGCACAGAGCAGCACTGGTTTGATACATCGATAGACAACTGCAAGTCGCTATAAATGTCATGTATGCATTCATTCACCTCCAACGATGCTTATTGAAGTTGAATGCATGGCACATCCCTCAGGAGTTGATCAACGTTGAGAGTTCTATTCTTTCTTTACTATGTATTTTATATTTCTTCCCCAAAGAAAAAAGGGATCTGTTTATAATGGCAAAGTGTTTGTTCCCCAGACATGTTACCTACGTTAAAAATGTTAAACATTTTAGTTGGGAAGCCGACTCAGGAGTCCACATCGGAAGGAAACGCAATTCTTCTAGTTGAAACCAAACCGGAAGACGACAAACATCTAAAATTTACAGTGTATGGCACTGCTTGTGGTGATGGCTCGGCATACTTCACAACACTCCAAAGAATAAAAGACCAACTTACATTCCCACTAAGTGGACATTTTCTTAAATTCATCATGATTCCTGGGCACAGTTTATATCTTTTCGTAATACGCTATACTGGCAACGGCAAATGCCACCAACGCAGTTTTTTCTCACCTTCTTTACGTCTAGATGTAACAGATATAGTTTGAAAAAAGCTCAAAGTATTTGCGATTGAACAATTCCTTTGAAATGTGTCCTGCAATCAACTGAATTAGCATTATAAAAGTGATTGAACGCATATTTGGCGTACATAATAGTTTGAGATAGCCTAATGATGTACTAAATCTCATACCAACCCGGAAAGATGGGCAGTATGACCAACCCATTGGTGCGGAGTTATCGAAACCACCACCACTACGCGTGCCGCAATGGAGGATAAAAAGGACAAGGCTCTCAGCGTTAACCACACACTTAGGGATGCGCCATGCATTCGATTTCACTTAACATCGTTGGAGGTGATTCAATGCATGTATGGCCTTTACAATGACTCGCGATAGCCTACTGATGTATCGAGCCAATGCTGCTATCCTTGCAGACAAATCTGATAGCAATCGTTGTTGACTCCGGAGGGATGGAAGGCTTGGTGAGCCTTGGGAGCGGTGATCGGCCCTGTGTGAATTGCAGGGCGCCTCCGGCTACTGCGCTACACGCACTCTTATTAAGGGCAATTAATAGCCAGAATTAGTGTTCCAAAAATCAAATAGCGTCGTAAGACGGGCTGAGACATTATGAGACACAAAGCTGCTGATCTTTTTCGATTTATTAACCTTGTTCTTGTCTTCTTTGACACTAGCGTCTTTGCTCTCGACAGCCACAATGTCAATTCTCGCCTTTTTCTTCTTTCGCTTCAGCTTCATCGTAGAAACACCTTGTAAATGTCGAGATCCAGCTGCGTCCTTTCTATCACCTGTTCCATCCTTCCTCTTGAAAAAAAGCTATTAATTGCAAGTTAAAAATTTGTACATCGGAATACTACGCCACATACAGACTAATGGTACCCACCTCGAAATTTTTGTTCTTCTTACTTCCTTCTTTTACAACAGGTTGATGCTCAGGTAGAAGTTCTTCAAATAATCCAAGATAACCAAATTCATCATTTTGGAAGTTACCAGCCACTGCACCACTCTTCCACTTTGCACCACTTGACAGTCTCACTACCTTCGGCATGAGCTCTATCTGAAATACTCCTAGCTCCTGACTTGGTTCAACAGTCACAACGCGCCCTACCACGTCTTCGGTGCGTCGAGGAATAACTAACAAATATCAAGCAAGACCTCAAACATAACACAGTAATAATTCAGCATATACCCTTCAGTACCAAGCACTTGAAACTCTATTCAGATAACCACAAACATGCGGACATATCGGTAAAACTCAGAACATCAGGCGGGCTAGGTGTGGTGGATAGCACATGAAACTTTGGACGGAACACTTGGTATATAAGAACTTTCTTGAACATCGTCTTCACGTACTACTACTATCCGTACATTCTACCAATGCGTTACAAGCATAGACATTCAATCTATATAGAGACTTGAAAATCTCACTTCGATGAGACGTCCGTCCTAAACTCCTCTTTGACTACTCTTTAGTCGACTAACAGTACTTGTTTTCCAGCCGACTCACAAGCTTCAACAATTTCAGTGCATCACCTTCTTGTAGCCATGATTTCACCAGTTTTACGGCAATAGTGTTATAATATCCACTCATAATCATAATCACAGGATTCCTTTCATAAAGAATTCCTGAGATCACGAATCCGTTCATTTTGGCATCAAAATCCTGTGCAATGAACATTACGAAGTTCAGCATTTCTCCACGCAGCTTAGCCTAAGCCTAAGTTCATTCAGATGGTGGAAAACTATTCGAACGAACAGCTAAATTTCTCGAGTAATTGTCGAAGGGTTTGCCACGAATGAACTTCAACCAATATCTTCGGTTCCTCGATGTCCACTATGAATTCGGTCTACGTTGATTGTAATTGAAGACTTCATTTCCAAGATTTTCGAGCCAACAATAAAGAGTTCCTCGCTCATAGATGTGTTCCTAAATGTCAATAATGTGCTGAGCAGCTACAATACCATCAAACCACTTCCACTTCCCCAGCCATTAAAACGATTGCGAACGTATATTTGCAGCTAGGGAAACTCAATACACTGATATTGAGAGAGAAAAGTTGGTTCTGACCATTATAAAGAAATATAGAACATTCATAAACTAAACATTGCATAAACAAATACTGGACCATTCGTCCTGAATAACAAATCTTTACTTACTCAGTGGTAAACAATGAACAAGCGAAGCTTGTCATTCCCACTGAATACTACAACAAAGTTGAACATTCACTCCTTTCACAATTTCATCTAACAACCTCAGGAATTTTACAAACAAAAACAAAAAACAACGCGAGAAAGTCAACAAAATCAAGTCGCTAACGATCACAATACAACTACATGAACATCAAACAAAGCGATACAGACCTATTGTCAAGTAATATTAATTGACTGAGCTTTACCTAGCACTCTATCACCTTATCGTCTTGCCCCATTCATTTCATCGTTGAAGTTTTCGAGCTGCCAAAATATATCGAAGTCCAAATTTATTTTGATCGGCTCTAAAAGCAAGTGTTTAAGTACTGAAAATTAGTTTAATAAATCATCCTAAAGCTTAGATGTATAGCTTTAAGGCAAAATGTTTATTAACATACAATTTCGAAATTAATTGACTATGATGAGCCACAATTTGCTGGATTCCTGTTAGTATTGTCACATCGGTCTGTCCTTTCAGGCGCATCCCGTGAATGTATAGAATATGTCTCAACCAAATCTAAACTGTGATTATTTACATTTCCAGAAACATTTTGAGGTCCAATCATTATCAAATTCCCCATTTTCCGCGTGTAACATATGTCTACAGAATTTCGAACATTTACTGTCACCAATACAAATGGTCAACAGCTCAGAGGTTTAATCGCGGGTATTCCGCTTCTGCTGTTCGAACTAAAATGATTTGTTTTCGAACAAAATCCCAAAGGTTTCCTTTAATGCAATCACCTGTAACTACTATGATCATCGGCTGATTCGAGGAGATATCAGTAAAACCTGCCTTTACTTCTGTCATGTACCAAAGGTGTTCGGTGTGCTACTACTCGAAGCACCCTACCAGCATCATACTTTTCGCATGAGGTCCTCTATTACCATTACTGACGATCAAACAGCTGTGAATAACTTACTACCCTTTGCCATGATATAGTTTTACTCCTGGCTGCGGCTCCTGATGGAAATGACAAACCATTTTTCAACTTATTCTGTTTGAAGATGGCATGTGCTATGTGTGGTTTAATTGTGAAGTTACCACTGTTTTACTACTGCTAGTCATTTTCCTGATTTGAACGAACTTCAAATTGTTAGATAATAAAGTGGAAGCACTTTTGAGCAAATAAGATTTGGCCATAGATCAGCAAAAAATCATAACACCAACAGCGCATTTCGCCAGGAAGATATGGCTGAACGTTGTTTACAAAACAGTGATGGAGATGAAAAACCTGATGACGTACGACCACATAAGATTTCAATTAAATATCTAAATACAACGGGAGTAATAAAACAAATGAAAGTGCCTCATATCCTTTTAGGACGGACCACTACAAAGAATTAGCGTACATCTCAGTACTACCTGCTCATATGAAGTGGACGACTTAACTACGAAAGGCTTCCTAAGTAACACAAGGAATACAACTTTGGTAAAAAAAAAAAAAGAAAAAAAGATTAATCCCATATCAATGTAAAGGACAATTGATAAAGCCCTCGGCGTTGACCAATCCCTGAGGGATGCGCCATGCATTCGACGTCATTAAGCATTGTTGGAGGTGAATGAATGCATATCTGGTCTTTACAATGACTCGTGCTGGCCTACCGATGTATCGACCCAGTGATGCTATCCTCCTAGACAAGTCTGGCAGTTTACCGACCTAGGAGGAATTCAGGTCTTGGTTGGCTATGGGCGCGGAGATCGATTCCATGTCTGTTGCAGTGGCGCTTCCAACCACTGCACCACACGCAACCTTTTCATTCACTAGTGTGGTAGTGTACGCGTCAGGCCATTCCAATGTAGTGGCATTTAATTCGATCTCGCTTGGCCCAACCAAATCCCCTGATCATTGTGAAACAGTAACTTAATAATTGTAAAGTCTTTAGGAAATGGTAATCTAAGTGGTCTAAGCACCATTCTCAACATATAAGTGAAAAATAATGACAGTAAGAATTCAAAACTGTCCAAACATGCAGCGCAATCACATCGATGACCAACTACTTTCTTGATGTGCAGCGCTTCCTTGACATTACTTGTAATTTTGTTGGCGCCAACTATATATTTAGTCCCAGATAGCGTTTTTTGTGAATTATTAAGTGTAGAGGATGGCTTTCCTCGTCTCAACCCTATTATTTGATCTGCTTTTGATTAGTTGTCAGTACGATTACTGCGGTTAAAAAAACTCTCGAACCCACTGAACTCAATATGGACACTGTAGCGTCAAATCGGGGAGTTATCGACTCGTTTGGAATTGAAACTTAAAAAGAAGATTGAAGAACAAACACACTGGTGAACACCACTGTTACCTGCTGGATGAAATCACAGATTCTCTGCATGACTAAATGAGATGACACCCAAGTCAAAAAAAGTGGAAAAGAAACGACTTATGTATTTCAGTAATTCCAATGCTATATAATGTAAGTAAGAAACACTGTGTTTTGCTCATCAAAACCTACACATTCTAATGATTTCCGTTTCTACTAATAAAACAAGGCTGGAAAGACGGATAGCACAGTGGTAATGATACTGGTCATTATGAGCACGGAGCTAGTTCGACACCGTTTTGGGCTCTCCAAACTCCTCAACCTTCCGGAGTCGGAAAATCGGTACCGGACTTGTCTGGAAGAAAATCGCTCTCTGCACTCGAACGGAGGACGCTCTGGCCCGTCTGTCTAAGCACTTCAGCGAAAATTGACTCGACCAGCATTCAACAATATTCACGATAAAAGGGAAATTCTCAATCAGCAACTGAAGCCACGCGTAAAAACCTGGAAGACATTCACGTATGATGGTTGCAAGGAAACGAATCAAATGAGGGAAATGCAGCGACGATCGCATAGTGAATGTAAAAGATAGGTCGTATTTTAAAAAAAAAAAAGCGGCTGGAGACGTTTCAGTTTTTATCAGCTAGTATGCTAAACAATCTGCACATAATCGTCCCCAATTCGTTATCGCATTTAGAACACGAAACGTACAGGAAAAAAAACATCCTCACCATATAAAAATGCACATGTATTGAACTTGCAACCACCTGACCGTCAGCGATCCACTTTAGCAATTTCTCAACATACGGCAGTGGTAGCGCTTGTACAACTAACTCGACTGAAATATCGCCACTAATATTCCTTTTTAAAAAGATCAAACTATAGAGAGACTACGAAGTAAACTGACGAATTATCTTTTTAAACTTACTCTGATGAACCTCTGTGCTTTCCATCGTCTTCTTTATCAATGATGAATCGTTCAATCGTAAACTCGCCATAAGAGCCGTTGAATAATCACATAAGGAAATAGCTCGTAAATTAATAAATATACAAATCAAGCATGAACGGCTGTAATATAAAAGGATAGAACCTTCTAATCATCGCTGGTGTTGTTTCAATGTCCAGTTGGAATGGATCAAAGATCCCATCCATATCCAATGAGTATACACCAACACCTTCTGTACTGCATACGGCAAATCTCCGTCCTAAATATGCAAAATGAATGGAGAACAAGGCAGAAAAGTTGATTTAGTATGATCAACCGTCTACAATGAACCATAATATTTTCACAATCCCGACATCCTGTTAACCTCAGCAGTGATTGATAATTCGATGTTTTTCCTCAATAAGACACGAGTTTACTATAATAAAATTTACTAGGATACAATAGCTGACGTTTCGGCGGTTTCGTCTTCTTCAGAGTCTGGAAAGGTCAAATTGAGATGCGAACCACACAGCCGAACACTTTCATAACTCTAGCAGATAAAACTCAACAAATAAATTTGTATTCGCATAAGAAACAGTTTCATTTAAACACCAACCGTTTATTTGTTGTAAGTATATAAGTTAGTTGATGGATAGCAGCCGCACAGAGTAATACATGGGCGATAACTATATCTGTGTCAGCTCATTCGATCAACCCGAGGCATGGCGCCGGGCGATGGCAAGACACTCCTCCTTGCTGTTCATTTTTGAATTTTTGGAATTGATCCAAAACGCTTCAAGAATTTTACGCGCTGATGTTTTCGATTTGTGCGAGAGGATAGCGACTCCTAAGATAATTCTGAGATATTTGCAAAACGCCGGACCGCAGGTGTCTGCGGTGAGGAACGAACGCGCTATTGCCCTTTCCCGGGAGTAACATGCTCACCACCACACCATGTGGGTCCTTCGTTTCGTCTGTCTTTCAGCTAGTTCTATTGATTTGCACCATCCGCAATCACCCGTCAACGGAACTGATCTAAGGAGCCTGAATCGGCAACGAAGCTGGTTAAGATTTGCTGCCTACTCTAATTTTTAACGGCAGGATATCACGTGAAATACAGCTGACTCCTACTTCAAAATCTCTGTTGTGTTCCTTCATTCTATGCACGTCTACTGGACCGTTTGTGTTTAATTTAGATTTGCCGACTAGGTGCCTTTCTATGTCGGACGCATAGAGGTCTACACGTTTCGCCAACGTACTCGCCCCCCCCCCCCCCCCCCCCCCCCCCCCCCTCACGCTTTACAAGGGATCAGATAGACTGTATCCGCACTCACGCAATCACCGTCTCTACCGTTAGGGCAAATTATGCAGTTTTTCGTTATACATAGGCGTTATACGATCGGTCATATAGGCGGTTGCGAACTAGCTGTGGTTTTATAGTGCCCGATAGTACTTCTATCACTCTTACGGAATTCTCTAGACCGGCCCTTATTAAGCAACGTTTTATAGTTGCACTTATTTCATTTGAAATAAAGGTCAAAGGAAACGGAGCCTTGTTTTCGCTAGAATTATCGTTCTGGGACGTGGGTTTATCTCTATACCTATGCCGAAAAGCAACAGTTTCGTAACCATTTGAAATCGCTATTTGGCGCGCTAGTTTCGAGGATTCTTCCCTCTGATCACTACCTGTGCACACGCTGGTAGCGGTTCGAAACATATTTCTTATAGGTGCCCTTTTAGTGTGTGAGGAACGAGAGGAGAGGTAATGAACCACTATGTTCTTACTGCTTGGCTTTCGATGCCATTTTGTAACGTAGCTGCTTTCGGATAGGTTAATTTGAACGTTTAGAAACGGAAGCCAGTTTTCTTTCGGTTTTTCACAGGTGAATTTTTTGTACTCTGACTGTTCGTTCAATAACTCAAAGCATTTGTCCATCTCCTCTTGTGTGGAACAGATGACAAAACAATCATCTATATACCTACAATAGAGTAATGGCCTAAGATCGATTACTGGTGCTTCCACTTTAGCCATAAAGGCAACAGCAAGGGATGGTACCAGTCGCTGTCCCATTGGCAGCCCTCTAATTTGCGCGTGGTATTTCTTGGACCATCTGAAGATCGAGCACTTTAAACAGACCTTTAGGAGGACGATAAGTTGCTGAATCGAAAAGCCATACATGTTAATTGCTCCTTCCTGTTGTTCAAGACGCTCGCGGATGGCTTACATAACGTACGCGCTTTTGGGACTTGCGTTGCGCAGACGGTCTAGGAACATCTGGGTGTTCGTTAGATGGGTTGGTATGTGCTTAAGCAACTGGTTGAGGATTAGATTTATAAACCAAGCAATTCTATCCGTAGACCCGTCTACACAAATGATGATGGGTCTAACTTTAAAGGTGGAGGGGTCGGTAGACGCCAGATCATCAGCAGATACTAATTTATGGTCTTGATAAGTATAAGACGGGACATGTTGGCACTTCGAACTTAAGATGCGAAATGTCTGCTGGTTTTAAACCTGCTGCGCTTGCCATTTTGACCCATTTGTTGATCAGTTTTCGTCTCAGCTAGACAAACGATATTCCTTCTCCACCGCTGCCTGAAACACCGAGTCGTGCCGAACTTCATCAAACGAAAACGACTACACGATGTTTGCGGCCTACCAAGGGACAGCCAACAAGTACTGGACATCGAAATGCGAGTACTACGCGCCTCTCTTCGATGCAAACAGGACACCACGTACGCACAATTGAAGAAGTGCAATTCTAGTGAAAGCAAAGCCCCGTTCCTCTTGTCCTTTATTTCCAACGAAATAAGTCCGGCTATAAAACGTTGCTTAATAAGGGCCCGTTTAGAGAATCTCGTAAGAGTTATAGAAATACCATCGGACACTCTAAGACGCCAGCTAGTTCGCAACCGCCTATATGACCGTCTAAGCATAACGAAAAACTGCACAATTTTCCTTAACGATAGAGACGGTGATTGCATGAGTTCGGGTACAGTCTGTCTGATCTCTTGTAGAGGGTGCTGGGACGAATCGAAAACATCAGCGAGTAAAACTCTTGAACCGTTTTAGATCAATTCCAAAAATTCAAAAATGAACCACAAGGAGGACCGTCTTGTCATCACGCGTGACCTGGCGCCATACCTCAAGCTAATCCAATGACCTGACACAAACACAGTTATCGCCCATGTATTACTCTGTGCGGCTGCTATCCATCAACTAAGTTAAATACTTACAACAAGTAAACGGTAGGTATTTAAATGAAGCTGTTTCTTACACAAATAAAAATTTATTTGTTAAATTTTATCTGCTAGGGTTATGAAAGTGTTTGGCTGAGTAGATCGCATTTCAATTTGACCTTTCCAGATTCTGAAGGCGAAACCGCCGAAACGTCAGCTATTGCATCCTAATAAATTCTATGATAACAACCTTGTGTCTGCTTATTGAAGAAAAACATAATATTTTCATTCCGGAGCGAAAGAAACCACTAACCAGGAACTGTCATAAGAGATTATTTCCATCAAAGAGTATTTCGGCAGCAATTGCTAGGAAACTGCGGACGCCATTTGCCAACAAAAACCGGATGGGAGAACAGGTAAAGATTTTAGCTTGGGGGTATTCTATATTTCACGATCACAAGACGAAGTTAAACACCTCATGATTAGCAGGTTAATTTTCTAAATCAAAAATATGGGAAATACTATATATCCATAGTCACACCCACCAGTTGGACAAAACGCTACCGCGTAAACTGCAACTTGTGGTCGAGCACTCCGCTCTCCTAGATCGAAATGTTTCGATCCTGGCAGTCGAATAGCTCGCCTTCCATCAGGTTCCGTCTCTGAGTCGCTAGTGTCGCAAAGTGCCATGTTGCCGAACTCAGTGAAATTACGGCGATTTACATCCAGCTGCAACGAGTCCGAAGTTTATGCGTTAAGCACATCAAAAATAGCTCAGCAATAACACTCAAATATACAGTTGAAGGAAGTAGTACTACAAGTTGAAAGCCTAACATCACCGCACAAAAAAAAACCAAAAATGTAAGGAGGGAACGACGGAGTTCTAAGACTTTGCAGTGCGATCCGAAACACATTGACAGGATGATAACTATATTTTTGGATAAAAAGAACTTGATGAGACCCATGGAATTTCTCCAGAGTATTTTTGACGAAAGCAATAGTTTCAACCAAAAAAAGCTAAAGTTGATCACAGAATCCTATAGTAAGCATAACTCGTGACTGCGTTAATAAGATATTTCAGTTTCGTTTAATAGTTCAAAAACAATTTCTCATAGGAACGGAATGCTCACCACAACTCCATCGAGGCTACGGTTCTCAGTAATCTTGAATTTTTTGACGAGAATTCGGTCCCGGAGTGAATATAAGCAAAAATTGTTCGAATCACCACCTAACAGCAGCAATGCACTGTCAGGTGAGAACTGCATGCAAGTGAACGATCTGAATGAAACTAATTAACCACTCCAGGAAAACAATACTATAATTCAAAGAAACAATTGTGGTTTTCGAACAAATACTTGTTTTGTGCCGCATTTTGTCGTGTGATCAAATCAGTTTGCCCTCTTGAAGGATCGAGATCCAATTTTGCATCGATAGTACCGATAAATCCCATCTAAAAGCATATTTTTACCGTTACAAGATTAACCTATCTACAAAAACAGTAAGAGATTCCGAAAAAACTACTGTTTCACACCCCATACAAATAAGGAACACTCCTAAAAATGTGGCTCTTGCAAAAGTTTACCGACTTATCACGGTTGAAAAGTGTTCCTGACTGTAGGCCTGTGGTCTATAGCGGATGGTATCTTTACCATCAGGATCCCCCAAGCTAATTGATCTGAAGGTTCCACACACAAGCCTAGCTGAGTAAACCAATACCAAGAACCACCTCCATCCTAGTAGGAAAAATCGCCAGTGGAAATGAGAGTGAAATAGAACTAGCTGAGAGACAGGCGAAACGAAGGACCCGTATGGTGTGGTGGTGAACGCGTTATTCCCCAGAAAGGAATAGCGCGTTCGTTCCCCACAGCAGACAACTGCGGTCCGGAGTTTTGCAAATATCTCAGCATTACAGAAGTAAATGAGAGTATCCTAACGGTTTTTATGCGGAGATCGACCATATTCTCACTAACAGAAGACGATACCTCCTTGACACTTCACTGGTAGCTGGATTCTGTCTTGAATCTGATTAACGTCTATTCCATGAAAGGATTCTACACAGCCATAAGCTGGAAATGAACTCCTGTCACCGTATAAGAGAAACAATATAAATTGTGTATGGCAAGGATATTTTCAATGGAACTCTCTCCTCGATGACTGCCAAAGAAATAAAGACCATGCTGAGCACTAATAGATGCTTGCCAACGGACTCAAAACTTGTAGGGAACTCGCCTCGGCTCCTCAAACAAAAGGTTCACACCGTATCTCCACTAACACCGCTTGCTTAAGAATAGAAGAATGAAGCTGAAGTCACTGCAGCACACTTAACATCGCTGGTAATAAGTGCCAGATGCTGACGGTCATTGGAGCAGGATTTACATCAGTATACAAAGGAAACTTTATTGGAAATAGCTCAAAAACGATTTAGTGCGAAGAAATGCCATCAGGGTCTATGTGTGTTCCACAGTGGTCCCTCATAAGCGAAGATGAGACTATCACCACATCTCCCAATACTCCCTGTCCCATAATCTCCGATTGTAATCCCGAAACCATGGCTAGAGAAGAACCGCTCGGGAGAAATTATCCATCCTCTGGAGTTCGAGTTGCCATAACAAGCATGAAGAGCTTTAGATGGTGGCCACAAATTACACGTACCTCTCGCAACCCTGATGACATCTTCCCTTCAGGAGGAGAAAACCGCAGGCCAATGGAGGACCTCGCGCACCATCCTCAAACTCGGGAAGGGCGACCGAAGGAATCTTCGTAACTACCGCTTAGTATGCTTGTTGAGTGTACTCTACAAACTCTTTACGAAGTTTATCTTTTTGTGCATATCGAAAAACTTGAATAAAGCACAACCAGTTGAGCCAGCAGTATTCTGACAACTATTCTCCTGCATGGACTACGTGCAAACTGTGTCCAGGGCCATGGAAATCCGTGGGGAGTATGGTGCAGTCTTTATCCTAACCTTTTATCGACTACTAGAAAGCGTAAAACAGCGCCGGAACGAATGGAATTCTATCAACGTCCGTCGACAAAGGAATGGACCCGTCCTATACAAGAACTCTATCTGACTGTTATCGGAAGTGCACTACAAAGATACTGCTTTTTGTCGCACCGTTACCATGCCCAAAGAAAAAGGGATTTGACAAGACGACACAAAACCGCCAACGCTATTTACTGCTGCTGTGCAGTAGACAATGAAATCACTCGATTTGAAACAGAAGGGCATACGTATTGATGGAAAGATCTTCGTTTCGCGGGTCGTAGGGATCGGTCGCCATCTTCATCTTTTCGAGAAGTACCAGAGAGACGTTACTCAAAGTCAGCGAAACGGGAAATAGGATTAGCTCGTGCATAAATAACACGAAGACGTAGTTTATGAAGAACCATGGTGTGAAGAGGAACAAATCAAATTGGATGGTTCTGATTACAAAGACCATCTCGTATGTGTACCTTCAGAGTTCACTTAAAATGAAAAGCAACATGAAGGATGAATTAAATTGGAGAATAGGCAGAATGATACCATTGGGGCCACTCATAGAAGCCACAACCAACTAACTGATCAGGAAATCAGTGCTCACTTCTCGATTCAAGAGTCCTCCCAGCGCTCTGTTATGCAGAAAAGAACTGGAGTGACACTTCAACCACGTCAAGAGTACACTCACTACTCACAGAGAGCTCGGATGATGTATTCTGAAATTTAACCACCACACTCAATATCTAGCCGGAATACGAAGCTCTGATCTCCGAAATCTATCTCATCTTCGGGATCTAAGAAAGTATACATCGACAGCGCAGCACAAACGGAACAATCGCATAAGCTAGAGATGATGAATGGACGATAAGAACAGTGGAATGGCCTCGAAAAGAATGCAAATGTCCTCTTGGACTACCACAACCATAAACGATGCCAGATAGAGAAAAAACGAATGGAAATCGTGTTGAGGTCTACACTATCAGTGAAGACATGCTATGCAAATATCCAGTGTTTACATGAAATACACTAGAATACTTTTCTCCGGCTTCCAGTGACGAACTCAATAGTAAAGGGCTGCAAAAAAAAGTGAAAGCAAATCTGACCATAAATCTGAAATTCGAAAAAAAAGTATTAAATTTAAGCCATGAAAGTAGCACTTCTCGTCCATCAATGGGGTTCTCGAATCCCCAAGACTGCGGATGCTGCGCTCGCGCCAAAAACATTAAACTGTTTGATTTTATTCTGGATCAATTTAAACATAAAATCAACATTTAAAGAACACCTATACCGTTACACCAACAGCGCAGAGCTTGCTTTACGATCCTGTTAGATCTACAAATCGATAGTACTATGAAAAAAGTACGAGTAGTTATGGGAAAACGAGACATAGCCGCTGGTTGTTTTATAGATTCTCACGAAATTTTATCAACTGAGACCCACATCTTTCCCGTGATATAGTGTTATATTCGAATCCACTGTGAGAACAGCTACTAGTTGTCCACATGGAGAAAATGCTACGGATAAGCCTTCTTGTGGGAGTACGGTAGTTTCACAAGACGAGTCCACAATATTCCACATCCTATAATAAAGAGTAACTTCGAAACCAAATTTCATAACGAAGGGTAATATCGAAAATATTTCGAAAGGTAATGGTAAAATATTTATAGTGATATATATCAAATGTCCTCCCAACGGTTTACCGTCTCATCGTGGCTGGGTGTTCCTGAGCGTTGGGCTACGCTGTACAGCGGGGAGATTCATCCACCCGGCAAGATCTCCTAGGCTGAGGAGTCCGGCGTTCCTATCAGGAAGCCTAGCTTGGAATAAACCAATGCCAGGATCCACCACGGTATCAAAGTAATGACATGGTGGCAAACCTCCCTCTGATCCACAAGGCCGGCGACTGCCTGTGGTGGTGACGACCTGGGGCAGACTTCGGCCAGGTTGACCTCAGGACTCCAAAGAAAAACAATGGCTAAACCAGCAAAACTCCGAAAAATGAAGAATATGCTGTGGCCCGCATAACTAGTGAGAAAAGGCCGTCCAAGTATCCAAATTCTTTTTTATTTTATATGATCGGCCCTCACATCTACTGTGCAGATCTCAACACTTCTCACATTCGATTCGTTTCTTCGCATCTATTGTCCACAAAGGTCTTCCAAGCTTCTATGTGTGACTTTGGTTGCTTTTTGAGGATCTTTATTTCATCTTGAATGTCGTAAAATGCTGGTCGAGCAATTTTCCCTGCAGTCTTGAGATAGCCGGGCTGAAGCGTAGCGTACTCTTTTTCCCAGACAAATCTGGTACCAATTTCCCGACTCCGGAGGCACCAGAGGCTTGGTTGACCCAGCGCGGAATCGAACTAGCACCATGCTCGTGATGACGGATATCACTACCACTATGTATTCACCCTGCATACATATAAACATATACATACACATATAACATATACTAAGCATCCAAGTAAGATATATGCTACATATTTATATTTGTCAAGCCAACTAATAAATATACATTCTTATTACTGTCTAACTTAAAGGTGTATAGGTGGGAAAGTTAACTAAGCTCAACCGATTAACTAAAACTAAAAAAGAACATGGACAATCTTGAAAGGTTGGCGCTATATGCGATAATCTTGAAAGCATGTTTAGAGCACAAGTGATTGTTTGAATAAACATTATTCAAGAACAAAGCTTACTTCAGTGTTCGATCCCAAGAAACACTAGCAAGGATGTTACCATGCATACTAATACTAGCAATATTTGACCGATGACCACTAAAAATATCTAATAACGATCCGTTCTCCATACTCCACAAGAAAATCTGCAAATCAATCAGTAAAAATCACCGAACATTAAATCCTAATATAGTTTTCACAGAAAAAAAATCGTACACTAAAGACTTCTTTAGCTGCTGCTACAACAATATCACCAGACTGATCAACCGCCAAGCTTCCAAGTTGTGTTGGTTCTGGGCAAGCCATGGTACGAAAATTGCGATACCTGAAATAAAAGGATATGCACACAGATTTATGTACTCAATGGATGATTAGTTCGGCGGAGCAAAAATACCTTATAACGAATATTAATTTACCATGCATTATTTAAGCTATCCCATTTGAATTCTATAGCTTTCTTAGTACCTCTCTAATAAAACAGAAAAACTTGTCAACTGCGCTAAAACAACACACCTCTTGAGATCATGTGCACGCACTGTGCCATCAAGTGATGCGCTAAGAATCGCTTTTCCACTTTGCGTCCAACAAACACCCGTTACTGCAGATGTATGCTCGTCGAACGTCACTGTACAGAAAGCTGTACGTCCGCTCCAGATTTTAACCTATGCTCAACCACTTAAGTATAATGACACACATTCGTAGACCCATATGATTTTACACTACCTTCCCATCTTCTGCACCCGTAGCTAGTAATGAACCATCTGGTGAGTACTGCATCGTTAAAATCCTTTGTGAATGAGATTGCTGCTTCAGCACATAAGTTTCTGATTGCCATTCCCATACCTGAAATCCTTTTAAAAAAGGTATCAAAAAAATTCTGTAAAGAAGAATATCCCAACACCAACCACTAACTGAGCAGCCGACCCCTTTCCACAACCCAGTGCGAGCCAGTCTCCTGTACTGTTCATCGCTACACTGCTTATCTGCAGTTCCGACACTCTAGAGAACAATGGTTAGCTCGATATTATTAGCTAAAGAGAAAGGTAAGTTGAGCGGATTAAAATTTGCCTTAAATTATGTATCAGTGCAAATGATGGCACCTCATGAAGTACGAACACGCCATTTGAAAAAGCCGTTAACAAAATATTCGACTTTACGTGTATACGGCAAGATGTCACATCTATACCAGATTTGCCGCTACCAGACGACTCCAAAAGAGAGTATCTGTAATGGTAGTTCGTCGTGCAATATAAAGCCATTGAGGTGATATTCACATCAAAGTCTACTATCAGAATTCAAAAATAATTGTAACAGGTTTTGTTAATGGCGAAGCTTAGCCACTGACGCTCGAACATAGCAATCAGCCTATAACAACCGTAAAGACCTCTCTGTGGTGGTTATCTAGATAGCATATTTAGTTTCTGCTCCTGACCCAAACAAAGACGACTCACACTCTAACCTTTTCCAATGTATTAAAAAGGAAAATTAAACTGACCGTTTAGTCTTCTCATAGTACAGCCTCGTAACCATTTCATCACCACCTACTTCGTCTTCCTCCTTCGTCCACTTTCCTACAAATACATGTATATATATATATGTATATGTACATATACATATATATATAATCTAGTGCCATGCATTCAGCTGCAATAAGCATTGGTGATTGAATGCATGTATGGGCTATACAAGGTACTTCAGTGGTCTTCGGATGTATCCAGTCAGTATTTCCAGGCCATCAGTATTTCTAGGCCATCAGAGTAGACTCATATCGCGTGAAATACAACCATAAACATGCTGAGATATCAATAAAACTCGGAACTTCAGGTGGGCCTCGAACCGATAGTTACCCTTTACGGGTGCGCACGTGCTACCCACTACACCAACCCAGGTCTTTTCTTTGGCTTTCTATCAGCCTGTTTTTTACTGTAACCATGCTATAAACAATCAACCATTAATGGAAATGACCTGAGGAGCACAAATCTGCGTTGAACCCAATTGTTTTGTTCATACCTCCTTTCATTTAACCATTTTATATGTGCCATACTAAACATTTCTTTAAATTCAGACAGAGTAAATACTTTCCATAACCTCAAAAATATATAGTGACTTCTGTGAAAATCGAGACCTAATCCAACACGACTTCTTAGACTTAAAGGAGTGTAAAGACCACGTAGAATAAAACTACATAAGCCCACAACTATGTAGCGCTTACCTTCCACTAAATCTCCAGGCTGAATAGATGCAGTCCATACATTAGCAATGCCACGTTTACAGACGGAAACTAGCTAAAGTTTCTAAATATCGTTCACAGTGATAGAACTACATTTATCTGCTGACTATGATATTGTGTGCGACAAATACTCTTAAAGAGAAAACACTTACATCATAACTACAATTTATGAACTGGCACATGACTATTGATCCTCGATGAGCAGCCAACGAATGAATGAAGAGATTACGATACTCACGAGAGCCTACCACGCGAACAATATTATCCTCTCCTCCGGCGACAAGTAGACTAAAGTGATAAGGAGTCATTTCGCAAGAAAATATTCCCTTCGAATACAAAAAGAAGAAACCATGAAAGTTAAAACCTTGCAATAACCGACGTTTTCTATACTAAGCCTAAGAACTTACCAACCATCATTGGACCAGTCCACACAATTTAAGGTTTCTGATGACAAATGGTACGTTTTCGAAAGGTAGAACGGATAGTACATTGAAGGCGATTGTTTTCCAATTTCCTGAATTTGCAAATCCATGTCACGACATATTGCAATGAAGCTGAAAGATGATGAGGGTTAAGGAGATCCTACAATGCCATTAAATTAGAGTACAAATGCAAGTAGGACAGAACAGTGGTAACTGACAAATCCTCACTTTCCATCTGGTGAGAACTGAACTGCGCGTACCATCCTGTTGGCACGGAATTTGAATATTACTGTCTCAGTACTCGTGTTTATATAAAGCACATGACCACCTGTAAACTTATTTGATTTGAAAGGTTAAAAAATCCGATGGCAGTTTACATCAAGTTCAAAACGAACGAATTTCCATGCAGTAACAGTGGCTGATTTCAATTTAAAAAAAGAATGAAGCTCTCGGCGTTGATTAATCCCTAAGGGATGCGTCATGCTATCGACTTCATTGAGCATCGTTGGTGATTAAATGCTTATCTGGCCTTTAGAATAACTCGCGGTGGCCTTCTGATGTATAAAACTAGTGCTGCTATCCTCCCAGACAAGTCTAATACCAATTAGCCGACCCCGGAGGGATGGAACCCTTGATGGGCCATGGGCGTGAGAATCGATCTTATGAGCATTGCAGGGTACAGTTCCCAGGATCGACTTTCTAGTAACCTCGGCAATGGAATATGAATGGGTCATTTTCCTGTTCAGCAATCGCGAGAATGCATACATTTATTTCCATAGAAAAACAATACAATACAACAGTAGCTGATGTTTCGGCAGTGTCGCCTTCTTCAGGGCCTGGAAGGGTATACTGATATGCAATCTACCAGGCCAAACGCTCCAATAACACAAAAAGACGAAAAACTCTATGTTAATTACATGATCAACAGCTTCTGGAAAAACTCACCGCTTTTCACGTCACTTCCAATGAGGAAGTTTAGAACAGCTGATTATAGTCGCATATGGTTGATAACTGCACCATCCCACATCAGAAAACGATGCGAACATATTCATTCCTGCTATTCATTGTAGGGTTTTTGGCATTTATCCAAAAAGCCTCAAGTTTTCGCGCTGGTGTTTTAGTCTCCTGTGCAAGGATATTGACTTTTACTCCAAAATCGTCTCCGCTGTGCTTTTGTATCCTATGCGTGCCTAGTGGGGTACTTTGTGTTAGTTTTCGTTCGCCATCTAGGTGTTGTTTTATACGGATACACAAAGCCCTGCCCGTTTCGCCAATATATTCATCTCCGCAATTATTACAAGAGATTAGGTATAACGTACCTGAACTCATGCAATCACCATCCCTGCCGTAAGAGCAAATTACGCGATTTGTTGTTTCACATAGACGGTCATACAAGCGGTGAGTTTTTCGAGAAGCTGTTGATCATGTAATTACCATAGTTTTTCGTCTTTCTGCACGTGTTATTGAAGTGTTTGGTCTAGTATATTGAATATAAGTATACCCTTCCCGACTCTGAAGAAGGCGATACTGCCGAAACATCAGCTACTGTTTTACTGTTTACAACCTCGCGATTGCTGAACAAGAAAATGACGCATTGCAGCGTACCTCCGACCATTGCCCCACGCGCGCCTCTAGATGATGATGGTTTCAACAAGATGAGCAAACGGTATCTTGAAAAATATGATCACATCATGCGTCAAGATAGAACAGCACAAAGACTTCATTCACAAACGATAGCAAGGAAAAGGTCCAAAATTTCTGAATAAGCAGTAAACAAAACGCTACAAACCTTCATTAGAAACGATCATATGCGACCCTGTGTTATTTATTGCCACAGACATAATGTTGTGTAAACAGTCAAAGGACAACGTTTTCGACACATTGCTAAAATAGGTAACGAATCGCTTTAAACCCAGAATTACTAGGACAAAAAAAAAACGCTCTAGACATTAAACAACTTCATGGATTCCAGGAAATTCTGAAGCACTGTCAAAGATAACCAATCGATAGCAAGTTCAGGAAGAAACTTACTTCTTCAGATCGAAAACCGAAAGTTTGTTCCCAACAGGACTAATCACCGAGTTCCCATCCGGTGAGAAAATCAGGTCACCATTTCGGTAAACCGAACCGATTAGGTTAGAAAACTGTAACGACTCTTGAAAATTTCTTGAATACGTTGGTCGAGAACAATAAAAAATCGCTCACACGAAAATTCAAATCCATATGAGGTTCAGAACTGAGGCAACGGAGTTCGTACCATCAAATATAGAGATCACTCTGATAGTATCTGCGACCAAACTCTGAAGAACACGAACAAAATGAAACTCAAGAACCATTCAGGAGTTCAAGTAGCATTCGCAACGTCATCGTTCGTCTCCATTTATAAAGCACAGAAACCAAAAAATGAAAGAGAAAACGACGTTCAATTGAAATTAGCTAATTTCACGTGACCTATGTTGTTTCATTTTGGTTAATAGTTAGATTAATGACGTATAACAACACAAGTTGTGACAATCGACTGATAGAAAACGTGGTTTACTGGTCTGAACACAATGCACTTGAACACTTAGACGGCCCGTCCTCACTGGTTGAGCGAGACCCAGCATAATCTTCACTTTTCGGAGTTTTGCTGGCTTACCCATTGTGGCTCGCAGAAGTCCCAAGGTCAACCTGGCCAAATTCTGCCTTAGGTCGTCACAACTACAAGTGGTCGCCCGCCGCTCTTGTGGATCAGAAGAGGTTTTGCCACCATGCAACTAGTTTGGTACGAGGACGGTGGTGGATCCTGGTATTGGTTTAAACACAATAAGCTACGTGAAAGCCACAACAGCACTAAATTGAACTCAAAATTTTCGTAGTCGTCCCGAGACGAATATTCTTCAGTGGAGCACAGCACAAATGCGGAACGCTCACCCTGCAGTACTCTTCTATACACGGCGGTTGTTGTTGACTAAAACAGCTACGAAGACGCCACTTCGAGAACAAGAACAACAGTGGAACTGAGATCATCGGCTCTTATGACGACGAAACCGACGAAACGTTAGCCGAATAAAACAATTATACCAACCTAGTAAAATCTCAATAGTTTAAAGAGATGTTAATTATTTCACTACCGAGGTTTAACAACGGTCAGTTACGAAATTGTTTTACTAAAGTGAACATTCTAGAAACTTTCCAGTTTACCGCCTCATCGTGGTTGGGAGGTGTTCCTGGGTGTCGGGCTGCGATGCACAGCGAAGGGATTCGTCCCCCGGCTCCCAAACTGAGAAGGAGTCCGGCGTTTCCATCAGGAAGCCTAGCTAGGTAAACCAATACCAGAATGCACCACCGTTCAGGTATCAAAGTCACATGGTGGCAAATCTCCTTCTGATCCACGAGGGCCGCGGCTGCCTGTGGTGGTGAAAACCTGGAGCAGACTTTGGCCAGGCTGACCTTGAGATTCCATGGAAGTACAGTGGCTTGATCAGTAAATCTTCGAAAAATGGAGATTATGCTGGGTCCGCACTACCAGTGAGGACGGGTCGTTCAAGTATCAAATAAGCAAGTAAGTAACATTCTAAAAAGTATATTGATTTTAAAAGCTACATACTAAAAGTGGAAAGTGAAAATAAAACCTTCAAAGCCAAAGAGTCCTCGAAAACCAAACAAAAATCTTCAAGCCAACGATTTCACTGCGACTCGATGGCTGTAAAGAGCGTCGAATACTCAGCTGAAGAGCGTCGGCAGGATGCCAACGTCCATTCGCTGTTCGGTCGATATCGCTGTGCGTCGACGGTGCCTCCAGTGGCCAATTGGGGGATCGTCTCGCTTCATAGCTTCTGGTAAGTCCTTGGGTTTCGTATGACAATGTTTCTGGATCTCTTTACCTTCAACTGATAATGGACTCGACCTTATCCACGATGTTTCTATGAGCCTATGAAGAGAGGTTTGGGCAGCGCTGATGGGTCGTTCCATGAGTGACAGCCGGCTGTACTTCTATTCAGTTTTTCATCGTTTATTATTATATTCCCTAGTGTTCAGATTATAAACCACTGAATATTAGGCCAATCTTTCGTTAAGGCGAAGTATAGTGCCCTCAGTGGGTGTCTTCCCTTACTAAAACTTGTTTTGTTAGTGCTGTTTTCTTCTAGACGTTCCTCTGAATGAACCGCCCTCTCTAATTGATCTAAGGGAGATCCGTGTTCTCGTTACAGCTCGGTATGTCGCGACGTTCACGTGTTTCTGATGAGATCGACGTGATTTCGAGCAGTGACGACGACATACCGGTACCACCGTCGAAACCGCCGATAACCATACGTGGGGTCGGACACATCACGATGTACGTTCATCGTTTTCTTCCCTTTACGTAGAATAAAGCCTTCGGCATTAGGCGATTTCTGGGTGGTGCATCATGCGTTCAGCTTCGTTAAGCATCATTAGAGGTAATTGAATTCATACTTGGACTATATAACTGCTTGCGGTTGTTCACTGATCTATAAGGTATCCTATATTATGTATAACCTATATAAGGCAGGATCTATAAGAAGCCTCCAGTAACCTTACGTGATGTCGGACACATCACAATGTACATTCATTGCCCTTTTCCGTTTAGAATCGATAAAGCTTCAGACGTTGATCAATCCCTGAGGAATGCACCGCACATTCGCCTTCATTAAGCATCGTTAGAGGTGACTAAACGCATATTTAGCCTACACAATAACTCACGGTAACCTACAGATGTATCGAGTCAGTGCTGCTATCCTCCGAGACAAGCCTGGTGCCAATTTGCCGAACCCAGACGGATTTGATGAACCAGTGCACAGGATCGAACCAACGACCACGTGTGTACTGCGGACATCTCCAACCACTGTGATGCGCGCAACCCTTTTCTTCCTTTATTCTGTGAAAAACAATTTCTTGGTTAGAATAACTAGTAACAAGTAATAAATTGAACATAGTAGAAAGCGAGGTCCTTATTTGAAATGAGTTTTAGTTTTCATTCGAATCTTCTGTCGTTTGAGCTTTCGCTGCAGTACTTGTGGCCAGGGCAGTGCTTGAGCAAACAGCAGTACTGAAAGTGAACTACATGATTTTTTAAGTGGACACTAATTGAATTCGAGTGCTGATGGTGTACACCTTTGAAATAAACAATCGGTGCACAGTTAGTTTCGAAGTGAAACGAAATCACAATGTTGAATTTTTTATTTACTGCCCACTACAATTTTCACGGCATGGTGTTATGTTATGTTATGTTATGCAGTGATACTGAGATATTTGCAAAACTAGGGATGGCAGGTGTCTGAAGTGTGGTTTGAACACGCTGTTACCTTTTCCTGGTGCTAACGCATTCACCAGCACACCATTCACGTCTTTCGCCTTTCTCTCAGCTAGTTTTCTATCTACACCCACAGCTTAACTGAGTTCAATACCGATTTGGGCTACCCTGATCAATCCCGGTGACGGGTGATTAGTAGTGGTACTGGTAGATATTTATAGAACTAGCTGAGAGAAAGGTGAAACGAAGGACGTGAATGGTATGGTAGTGAACGCATTATAAAACTAAAAGCTGTCGACGTTTATCAACCCCTGAGAGATGCGCCATGCATTCGACTTAAGTATCGTTGTAAGTGATTGAATGCATATTTGGCCTTTACAATGACTCGTGGTGACCTACCAATGTATCGAGCTAGTGCTGCTATCCTTCCAGACAAGTCTGCTACCAATTAGCCGACCCCGGAGGGTTGGAATGCTTGGTGGGCCATGGGCGCGGAGATCGATTCCAGTGTCTGTCGCAGTGGCGCCTCCAACCACTCCGCCACACGCGCCCTAGTGAACGTGTGAACGCATTAGCCCCAAAAAAGGTAGTAGCGTTTTTGGCCACCACCGCACACACCTGCTGTCCGTAGTTTTGCAAATATCTCGGCGTAATTGTGGTTAAAACGAAATACTCTGAAGTTTAAAACAGAGCGTTCCGATACCAGCGGCTCTTTAGACACAAGAAAGCTTGGCTTTCATTCTTTGATGAAACAGGGTATCTCAGAAATTTGGTCTAATGAATATTTCGTGCCCACACGAGTTCTGTACACGAACTTGAATCTCCAAAGTACTTCACAGTGACTTTGCTAGGAGATTTCTTCGTGGTCCTTGTAGCGTATAAGTTATGATCGTCGTGGTCGGGTGTCGTAGAAGTTTTTGTGGTTTAAAGTTATCTAAAATGGACTAAATTAGTACTAGCCTTTGTTTCTATAATGACATTATTTGAAAACGGTGCTTTCTCATGTACTATCCTTCCTCTTTGAGAATGATAAAAACCTTTTGCCCGGAAGACTTAACGCTTTTGGTGATAGAAGTATTCTGTCAACATCGATGATTATGCATGACAAGCGAGTGTGGATACTAAGTCAACTTGTTCTTTGAGTTAGTAATGACGTAAGAAAATGTTGGTAGAGGTGGTGAGGTTTTCTGGATGTGTGACGAGTTAAATATTTAGGTTTGGCTTAAATTCTCGGTTTGATACGGACTTTCCTAGTGAGTTGATAGGACGCGTTGCTCCTGAAGAGCTTTCTGATACCCTCGGACGCATCAATAATGTTCTTAAACGGCACGTGCAGATTTCGAGGTGAGAGATTTGAAGTTTAGACCCTTCTTGGTGCAGGAAATTTTGTACTTCAGTCGATGGTTGTTGTGCGGCTTGCTGTTTTGTTGCTGTTCGTTTGGATGCTCACTGTTTCCTGTTGTTTGCCTTAATAGGAGGGTAAGTTTGTCATGACCTGTTGTTCATTGGGATGTCCGGCTAAGAAAGTGGATAAATATGACTGGTAATACGGATAGCGAATAAAGCCGTATGGAAATAACCGTCTTGGGGTCTCTCTCAGAAAGACCACTTTTAGGTGACCCTTCAAAAATATTTTAAGAAAATTTTAGTTATGATGATTCTGAGGTATTTGCAAAACTCCGGGCCGCAGGTCCTTGAACTGGTGAACGAACGCGCTATTACCTTTTCCGGGATTCAACGCGTTCACCACCACACCATGAGGGCCCTTGGTTTCGCTTGTCTCTCAGCTAGTTTTCTATAAAAATAGTAGAGTTTGCTGTAGCGTAGTTCATGTCTTGACTAACGGTTATGTTAAGCTTTTAGACAGTGACCGCCGTTGAGAAGACATTGGACCATGAGAATGTCTGTTTGTATCACAAACTTGGCCTACACTGGCGTCTCGTAAAATGCCCAATGGATGGGTCCCGGTTAACGGAATATGTGCTAGAATTGCAGACTCTTCCGAAAGTTCAGCTTATGATGCCAGATTGACGTATGATTTCTTAATCCAACGTTCTCATGTCTCACTATCTATGAGCGGGGTTACTCTTACGGTTAAATTTGGACCAAAAGCTCAAACCGTCGTTTTCTCAAGAAATAGTTACATAGTCTCAGGAATGGTGCTTTTCGTAAAAACAAGGAGTGTGGCGTTCGTTTTGAAATCCGGGAATGTTTGTGGTTAATGAAAGAATGCTGTCAATGAAATCGTTAACGCGTTTTTGCACTTAATCAGATTGGTTCTGCAATTCTTTCTTAGTGTTAGAACTTAAGCTCCTCGTGTTTGCCGAAGTCGTTTCTGTTACTACAAAAGATTTCGCTATTATAGAAGCTATTCGACTTAGACAGCATGTAGGGAAGCCATATTGAAATTGTTTGTTTGCGTGCAAAGTGACGTTCCGTAGTATTTCGATATAACTACAATGATGCTGATACATTTGCAAAACTCCGAACCAGAGATATATGCGGTGCGGAAGAACGCGCTATATTTCGATGTAACTATTTTTTAACGGCAATTTTGCTGAAGGGTTTACAGAGAACAAAGTGTAAGATTTTTGTCCGGACGATGGTGGTTGTGTGAATGACCTCGTGAACCTCGTGAACCACTTTTATGTATGAAATTGGTCGTCGTCCGACTATTACATGAGAACATGGTTTCAGGTGGGCTTGCTACATTAGGTGTCATTGTTGTTTATGCAACCAGGTCCAACGTTCCAAGCTGAATTGGCTAGTGAGACAACGTAAAGTGTTTCTCATAAGGAATTGTCTCTAGTACTTTGTTATTTACGAAAACTTCTCAAGTGGTAGCGGTACTCGGAGTGGTATGAATAATGAATGAGTCACTTGGACTCGGTTTCTTCAGTGGCTAGAGATTCATTCCTTTATTCCTACAACCTCAGGTAGTTTCGGTGTGGCCATCAGCGACTTGTATCATAATCTTCATTGTTTATAGGTCGTCTTCTATTGTAGAGTGCATGCTATTCTTATTTCGTTCTCTTTTTCTTTTTCTTTTTATCTCGTTAGGCAGTCATATCTAATCCATTGATGTGGACCTCGTTGTATTTATGCTATAGTCGAGAAGTCGCCTATTTGATTGCGAAAATATGGGTAGTACAAAGCTATTAAGAATCGTGTATTTCAAATTGTGTTTATGTGACTTACTCGTTTTTAATCCAGACCACTATGTGCACTTAAATTTTTTTTTGGAGTGAGGATGTCAGAAAGCTTTAGGAGCAAGAGCCATATAAGTTTTGTTGTCCTTACTGTTTATCAGAAATGTTGTGAATGAAGATTTCAATATCGTGGAGTATTCTGGCTGTACTTCGGTAGAGATCCGTAGATGAATTTATTCAAATGTTGACTATTCATTGGTTGATTACGTTCTATATTGAATAAGAGGATTCGTTTCATAACAAGCTTATTTACTTACTTGGACACTTGGATGGCCAATCTTCACTGGTTGTGTGAGCCCCAGCATGATTTCCAACTTTTTTGAAGTTTTGCTGGTTAGCTATCGTGGTTCCCTGGAGTCCTGAGATCAGGCAGACCAAAGTCTGCCCCAGGTCGTCACCACCACAGGCGGTCGCCGCCTTTGTGGATCAGGAGGAGATTTGCCACCATATGACTTTGATACCAGGACGGTGCTGGGTCCTGATATTGGTACTCTTAGATGGGCTTCCTGATGGAAACGTCGGACTCCTTCTCAGGTTAGGAGACCCTGCTAGAGGGATGGATTCCCCGCTGTACATCGCAACCTGACACTCAGGAACACCTTCCAACGACGTTGAGGCAGTAAACCGTTGGGAGGAACGAGCACATAAAGGAACATATCCAGGTAGTAATACAGTCGTTCAGAACTTTGCGGCTGTAAAAAAAAATGTGCGAAAGTTTACCCACCAGTGGTGGGTTGTGGGTTGGATGGCCCTGCGTTCACGTACTACCAATCAAAAACGAGCTCATTTCTGGATAGCAAAACATCGTATGCGAGGTGAACATGGATGTTTCGTACCAGTTACCAAAGAATGAGGATGTACAATGTGTCTTGTAAAGTGTGGTTTACTAGTGTTCTTAATATTCGTGCTATTTTTCTGTGAAACTCTCGCTGTACTGGCTTCAATCCGTGAAATTGTTACGGTTAACCCGGTACTCTGTGAAACATACGTTGTTCAGGTTCTATTTTTCGTAGGTACAGCCCCTAGTACTTGTTTTTCTAAGGAGCTATCATAAATTATGAGGAGTAGTGATGATTTAATTGTTCTACAGATGTCGAAGAATATCAAGACGCCAACAAATCAAAAGCTGCTTACTAATGTCGCAGTAGTCCGTTTGAAAAAAATGGGAAAACGTTTCGAGATTGCTTGCTATAAAAACAAGGTTGTCAACTGGAGAAATAAAAGGTCGGTTTTCTTTACGTGACAGAGATTCATGTTTCAGTTGTTTGTATAGATATTTATAGGTATAGTATAGATAGATAATATTTGCTAGATTCCAGTCGCATTGGTTCGCACTCAGTTTAAACCACAAATTTATGGAATACGTTAGTTCTAGAGGAGGGTGGAGTAGTTAGTTAAGCAGTTCATCAGACCATCAGGAAGCAAGGTGCTGGTTCGACCACGGCTCCAACGCTTTCCTCCAATCCGTGTGGAAATGCCTTTGCCTGGATATCTGCAAAATTTCAAGGAGAAACTACACAATCAGCATTGTACGACATTCATGAATAAGTAGATCTCTTCCTAAAGGTCGTGTGTAGCGCAGTAGTTAGCGGCACGTCGCAATACACATGGTATCGATCGTGTGCCCCAATGCTGACCAAGCCCTCCATTGCTCTAGGGTGACAAATTGCTACCAGACTTGTCTGGGAGGGTAGCAGCATTAGCGCGATATAATGGAAGGCCACCGTCATCATACAGGCCAAAGATGCATTCAGTCACTTCTAACGGTGCTTGATGAAGTCGAATAGTTGGCGCATTCCTGAGGAATTGATCAACGCGGAGAACTTTGTCTTTTATTGTTTTTTATGGTGGGATTCTTCACTTAAGATAAAGCCATTAGAATCCGTACATTTTTATCAACATACTGCAGACTATTCCGGTAAAACTTTGGGCTTCCGCAACCGTAAAATCATCTTTTTTGTTGCTCAAGGGTGTTAGTGATTTTCTTATTGCGACGTACAATGTAGCTGCCTTCCCACTGCATAATTATCTGAGCTGAAAAGGAGTTCGTCACGTACATCCAAAAACCGAGGTAAAAGTGAACATTTTTCACGGATTTTCGTAGCTATAAATGTAGAGTGACAAAATTATAATCCAGAAAGGCTACCGATTTTCTATGCTTGAATACAGAACGCCCAATGACGTTTTTCTTAGGGCTCCAGTCGAAGCATTCTTGCCAAGTCAGCAACATATTCGTTAAGTGAAGAATGTCCTGCTGTTGCCCTTGCAATTTGTTTTTTACTTTTTTATTCATATAACCCGACTCTTCATATTATGCTGGTTCAAGCTCTTCAGTAGGTTCGTTTTCTTGCATCCATCATACATGAGAATCTTTGAATCTAGGTTTAGGTTTGGTTGCTAGTTCTGGATTTTGCCTTCTTTGTGAGTGTTGTTGAACGGTGATCTAATTACCTCGCATCCTAATACGGCTTTGTCAAGGCTTCCATAAATCTTCTTCACAAACAGTCGTCTGCTTTTGTAGATTAAACGGAGTTTTTCATACACAAGTTAAGGAGTCACATACTATTGCACCCTGGATTTTCCAGTGAAAGAGAAAAAAGAAAAGAATGTTGAACAAAATACGAGTAGTCTCACTCTTTGAAAGAGGACACATCCTTGAAAATGGCGAAGACAAGACTGAAGCTTGAAAGGTAATTCCCCGTATTAAAAAAACATGTAACTAACAACGCGTGAGCTCAACAGGGAGTTTGTAAGGTTTAAATAAATTACGTTTTAATACCATGGTTTACTGAAAGTGGGTCTTTCGAATGATTACACACTAGTATAGTCCGAATTTGCCGAACCCTGAGGAATGAAAGGTGTGATTGTCCCGACAAGTCGAATTTGTGAGCGAACTCGTATTGCAGTCGTCCCAGCTCAGTATATTGTGAAAATTGTGTCAAAAATGTGGCAGAATTCCGGTAATTTAGTGTTCACTGTCGAACTAGATTTGATATTTCGGAACAAACAAGTGACTAGGCGTGTCTAAAAATGTAGAGTGATATATACATTCATATATTTTATTTTTATATGACCAGTTTTCACATCTACTTTGCGGATCTCAGCACGTCTATCATTCGATTCGTTCCATCGCATCCATTTTCCACGAAAATCTTCCAACTTTTACGTCTAGCTTCGGTTGCTGCTTGAGGAATTTCATTTCATCTTGAACTTCGTAGAGTGCTGGTCGAGTCGATTTTCCCTGGAGTCCTGAGATAATCGGACTAGAGCGTTTCCATTTGGATTGCAGAGAGAGGTTTTTCCCGGAAAAATCATGTACCAATTTCTCCACCAATGAGGGATGAGAAGCGTGGTTAGCCCCGAGCGGGGTCGAACCAGCACCATGCTCATCATGACCGACAACACTAGCACTGTGATATCCACCCCGACTGATATATAGGAATTGAAAAGTATCAAATGAGGAACGAAACTTTAAAAATGCTTCTTGTTGACACATTAATTTCAGCGAAAAAGACATTGACGAAGTTCTTCAAACTCACACCGTATTTTCAAACGTGTCGAAAGGACAAGTGGCAAAGAAAGATGAGTTGACTGCAGCATTCGGCACTGACGATCAACTGGAAATCTGTAAATTGGCGCGTTTGTTTTTGCTAGATTGTGCTCCATTCTACGTGGGAAATTTTGGGAACTTATACATTTTGCAGTAATCGAGGAAACATTCAGATTCTGGAAAAAGGTGACTTGCAAGTATCCGAGAAGGAGCGCCAGGCGGCAACAGATCAATCGTTGAAGGAGGTACCCTTCCAATATCTTAGTATTACTTACTTACTTACTTACTTGGTACTTGAACGGCCCATCCTCACTAGTTGTGTGGACCCTAGCATAATCACCATTTTTCAGAGATTTACTGGTTAAGCCATTGTGATTCCCTAGAATCCCGATGACAGCTTGGGCAAAGTCTGCCCCAGTCGTCACCTCGACAGGCACTCGCAACCCTTGTGGATCAGAGGGAGATTTGCCACTATGCGACTCTGATACCAGAACAGTGGTGGATCCTGGTATTGATTTACTCTTAGCTAGGCTTCCTGATGGAAACGCCAGACTCCTTCTCAGCTTAAGAGACCCTGCCGGGGGACGAATCCCTCGCTGTACATCGCAGTCCAGCGCCCTAGAACACCTCCCAGCCACGATGAGACGGTAAAGCGTCGGAAGGTATCTTAACATTTAGGGTCCAAATCTGATTTTTCTCAAACTGCTGATAATTCCTCAATAACTATAATGATTAAGAAGTTAAAGACGTGGCCGCCTTGCAAAAGAGACTTTGCTCTACCTCTCTAAGAGAACATATACTTTACTTACTTGGACGACCCGTCCTCATCGGTTGTGCAGGCTCCCGCATAATCTCCATTTTTCGGGATTTTGCTGGTTTAGCTCTTGTGTTTCCTTAGAGTCCTGAGATCAGCCTGGCCGAAGTCTGCCCCACGTCGTCACAGGCAGTCGCCGCCCTTGTGGACATGCGATTAGTTTGATACTAGGAGGGTGGTGGATCGTGGTACTAGTTTACTCTTAACAGGGCTTCCCGGTGGAAACGCCGGACTCCTTTTCAGCTTGGGAGAGTGGACGAATAGCCCCTCCATACGTCGAGACTCTACACCCAGGCATATCTCCTAGCCACGGTGAGGCGGTAAACCGTTGGAAGACCTCCTCCTCTTTATCAGGAGAAAACGTGGTCCTGTAAAATGTCAGTTGGTTTTTAAAGTTGTTTAGGGCTGAAGTTTGAAACTGAACTAAAGACGAAGTTTAAGCTTTTGAAATTTCAAACGAAATAGCGGCGGTTAAGCATTAGCAACGTGTGAGGACGAGGGCATCTTTTTTTTTTGGTTGACAAAATACTGCTTGTTCAATTGCATTGGTTTTTGAAATGCGAGCTTTGACAAAGAAATATGTGGAAAATTCGTTTAGTGGGCTCTGGAAAGTCAGAATTTCATTTTGATGAAATGAAAGAACTTTTATTATGTAGGTGAAGATTTGTAAATTCTTGCACTTATAATTGCAGTTGTCGTAATTCAACTTAAGCTGAGATATTTTGGTTGAAGGTTGAAAGTGATCGTTATTTCCGGACCGTGTAAGTGGAAGTCTCACGTCAGATCCTGAGTGTTATAATGTAATGGTCTATTTAACGGCTTGACTTCTAAGATAGATGTGTCTCCCTCTGTTAGTCTTTTCACCTCATATAGGCCTTTTACATTTTCTAATTGTGGATTACCAGGTAATGAGATAATGCAATATAGAGCTTTTTTAAGTCTCAGTTCTTCTTCATGTTGACGACATAACAAAGTTTTTAATTTTTTAATTCAAATATGTTAACCGCGAAGGCCAACGATGAGCCACGTCATTTCGTTCTGCTGGACAGAACCCACTTGTTTAGTTATTTCGCTGTTCGAGACGCGACACATGATCTGGAGAAGTTTTGTGGAATTCAAGAAACTGGAATTCCATCTTGGTTCAAGAAGAAAATTTATGTTTTGTTGGCAAAGACCTATGGTTTCTTTTATTTTAATTATTTATGTGACTCGTTATCACATATTGTGCAGACCCATCACATGTTTCAATCGAGGCACGGGTGGTCTGGGACGGGGTCGAACTAGAGAGGATAATGCGTGATTACACTGGGCCTCGACCCATTGCTGGTCTTGCTCGCTTTGTAAATAATATTAATTTTTGGTTTAATTATTGGCGTGTAGCGATGCCGATCATCACGAGCACGGTGCTGATTTGATTCCACCCAGGCTCACCAAGTCTGTTACCCCTCCGGGGTTGGGAAATTGGTAACAAACCTGTGTGGTGAAAATTCACTCTCTGAAATCCAGATGGGAGCACTCTAGCCCAACTATCTCAGGAGTCTAGGAAGAATGGACTCTATCAGCAATCAACCACATCCATGATAAAAGAAAAATCCTGAAGCAACAACCGAAGCCACACTTGAAAAGTTTGAAGACCTTCTTGGATGATGGATGCGAGGAAGCAAATCGAATGCGAGAAATTCTGGGATCCGCACAGTAGATGTGAATGGCAGGTCGTGTAAAAACGGTCTTGCGTGTGGGTAGTGGAGTGGTAGCGGTGCCCTTGATTACAAGCACGGTGCTGGTTGGATTTCGTCCCTGGATCAACATATCTCTAGTGCCAGTCAGGTCTGGAACTTAGTACCACAGTTGTCTGGTTCCTCTTCATCTTTCCAACATATGTGGAACGCTTTCCGACCGCTATCTTAGAGCTCGATGAAGAACCAATTCTCCCAGCATTCACCGGCATTCATAGAAAAAACGAAAATCCTCAAACAGCGACCGAATCCACATGTGAAAATCTCGAAGACCTTCATGAGTGATGAATGCGAGTAAATGAATCAAATACGTGTACCACCGGGATCCGCATAGTAGATGTGAAGAGTGGTCATGTAAGAGAAATAACGTACACTTTGAGGCGACGTGAGGTTGTTTAAGTCAAGGTGCACAATTATTTTCGAGTACGAACCTGCTGGTGAACATATTGCAGAGCATGTTAATCTGTTAAAATTTGAAGGTGCTATTTGGACGAACTATTCCTCTTATCTAGGTTTCTCAGCTGATTGCTTCAATGGTTGTGAATCCTGAAACGAAACGTCCTATACCACCATCTGTAATTGAGAAAGCTCTTCACGAACTTCACTTCTCTCTTAAGCCAAACAGAAATGCGAAGCAGCAGGTGACTTCATATGGTATTTCCTTTAATTGTGCATCTGTTTTACTAATTTTTGAACTCCTATTTTGATCCGTACATATTAGGCATTGGAAGTTATTCCAAAACTGAAGGAAACGATTCGTATTGAACGCGCAAAGATGAGAATTCGTATATCTATGCCTTCACATGAAGCCAAAATCACACACGGTCGACTGAAAGCTCTCTTTTCCGAGTTAGAAATGGAAGATTGGGCCGAAGGAGGACTTGAGATGGTAAGTTGTCTGTTGAATCCAATTGGGTAATTAAAATTTTTCGGTGGATCTTTCAAAATCTCCGCTAACGTTGTGTGGCACAGATTCGCCGCTTATATTACAACATCTGAGAATGCTCCATTGAATATAGAAGTGATAGAGAGTTAATGTAAAGTACATTATTAGGATGATATTAGCAGTTTTTGGACGGCAGGTTTGAAATAATGTATACCCGATATACTCGAACATAACCTTAGTAATCAACTTAGGTATTGAAATGTACATAGTGGAAATCCATTTTGATAACTCCCACGACCAATTTTCTATTAATCTCGGCATTGATCAAGTAATTCTTCGTATTTTTGTTGAGCAAACGCGAGGTGTTACTTCTATTCTTTATTCACGAATAAGCTGACGTTTCGGCGGATTTTGCCTTCCTCAGAGCCTGGAAAGGTCAAGTTGATAGCAATCTATTTGGCCAGACACCTCCATAACCAAACAAAGAAACTCTAAACCAAGACCAGTCTTAACCCTTTTATTTACTGCCTTTTTCTTTTTAATGGCAGGGTATGTTGCGAAATATAACTCGTATATAATGCTGAGGTATTTGTAAAACTCCGGGCCGTAGGTGTATACGGTGGGGAACGAACGCGTGCTATTGTCCTTCCCGGGGAGTAGCGCACTTCACCACCACACCATCCGGGTCCTGTCCCTCAGATAGTTCTACTGATCTAAGCCTCAGCTTAATTGGGTTCAATGCCGATTTGGGCTCCCCAGATCAATCCCGTTGACGGATGATTGCTGACGGCAAAAGATCGATAGAACTAGCTGAGAGACAGGCAAAACGAAGGACCCGGATGGTGTGGTGGTGAAGTGCGCTACTCCCCAGAAAGGACAATAGTGCTCGTTCGTTCCACACCACATATTACCTACGGCCCGGAGTTTTGCAAATATCTCAGCTTTATATACGAGTTATATTTCGCAACATACCCTGCCATTAAAAAGAAAAAGTCAGTAAATAAAAGGGTTAAGATTATTTTTGGATAGTTTTATGGGATCGGCTATATATCCAGAAGTTGAAGGAGTGGATTATTATTGGTGTCAACGTATTGAAATAAATGCATAGGTGGAGGTAGATAAATTCGCAAGAAAAGTGTTGAAAATTTGCGTTTCTTCAGAGAATTCTAGCATCTCGTAGATCCGAAGAACTTGTAGAAGAGAAGCTATACAACTATAAAACGTTGCTTAATAAGAGTCGGTCTAGAGAATTCCGTAAGAGTGAAAGAAATGCCATCGGACACTCTTAGACGCCAGCTAGTTCGTAACCACCTATATGAACGTATATGTGCAACTCAAAATTGCATAATTTTGCCCCAGTGGTATAGACCGTGATTGCGTGAGCTCAGGTATAGTTTATCTGATCTCCTGTAAGACGTGCGGAGACGAATACATTGGCGAAACGGGCAGACCCCTCTGTGTCCGCATAAAAGAACACCTAGCCGGCAAACATAGACCAAATACCCCGTTAGGCACGCATAGGACCCAGAGACATAACGGGGACGACTTCGAAGTATGTGTCACGATCCTCGCACGCGAATCAAGAACGCAGGCGCGAAAAACTCTCGAGGCATTCTGGATTAATTCCAGAAATCCGAAAATGAACCGCAGGGAAGAATGCCTCATTATCACGCGTGATATAGGGCAGTATATAATACTGTTATTCTGATGGAAGGGGCACATTATGCTTCCATGTCATTTTTGTGCGGTTGGTCTTTACGCGGCATAGTGGAAACCTCATAGAAAGCGGTGAGTGTGCAAAGCTGTGTTCAATGTGATTGAAATCTTGGTTTAGGGTTTTTTTGTTTGGTTATGGAGGTGTTTGGCCGAATGGATTGCTATCAACTTGACCTTTCCAGGCTCTGAGGAAGGCGAAATCCGCCGAAACGTCAGTTTATTCGTGAATAAAGAATAATAACACCATTTCGATAATATTGAGGTTCTGTAAGTAAACAGTTTCTCGAGCAGATTTTCAGCGGCGGTATTGTTATTGATGATCTTCCCACCTAGTGGTCAAAATGCTTTGAGAAGTACGGTAGTCGATTAGCAAGAAATCCGGTGACCGTGGTGTATGAGGTGAAGCTTCATAGCCTATTTCTTTCAGCTGGTGCATCACTATTTATAAAGCATATTGCCGAGAGTTGTCATGTAAGAGGATTTGACATTTTCTGGTGACCACTACAATCATTCAGTCAATATATACGTACACATGCATGTACTTACTTACTTGGACACTTGAGCGGCACGTCGTCATTGGTTGTGCGAGCTCCAGCATATTTTCCGTTTTTCGGAGTTCTGCTGGTTCAGGCAATGAGTTTTCCTGGAGTTCCGATAACAGCCTGCCAAAGTCTGCCCCAGGTCGTCACCACCACAGCCAGTCGCGGGCATTGTGAAACAGAAGGAATTTTCCACTGTGCGACTAATTTGATACTAGTACGGTGGTGAACTCTAGTATTGGTTCACGCTTAGCTGGGTTTCCTGATGGACACGCCAGACTCTTATGTTGAGACCTTGCCAGAAGGACAAATTACCCCGCCTTACAGCGCAACCCCTAACCCAAGAACACCTCACAGCCACGATGAGGCGGCAAACCGTTGGAAGGACACATGCGTGTATACTATATATATATATATATATATATATATATATATAGTATAAATACAATGTACATAAATTGGCTGCGATTTTTATACATTTTGTCGTATTCGTCATAGTACTTTCCTAGGAAGCGTTTAAGAGCATCGTAAAACATCCTCGGGTGGTCGTCGTAGTTTATTACATACATTACACTTTTCCGTTATCTTTTTGTGAAGAAGAAAGTACAGAGCGGACTCACTAATGACCTCTTTACCTTTCTCTCTTTGCGTGTGAATTAGCTTCTTTTGCAACCTCCCAATTTTCTTCTAAAGGGTCAGCATCTGTTATCGCCTTCATATGGTCTTCAACTGCTAATGCACGCCCACAGCCTCCTTCCTCACAAATACTTAGATTTCATGAAACTTTTCGAGCTGTCTACTTCACGTCGTGCTTTAGAAACAGTTCCACACCCGGATGTCACTTCAAATTTTTTCCGAGATGTATATTCAAATAAATTTAAAGTCAGGAAGCAAAATTATGAATATTTCCTATAATGAGAATTGCTTTGACAGAACTAAAAGAATTACAACTTAGGTATTACAAAAATCATTGCAAGCACTTGCACAGAAAACTTTAGAATGGCTAACCTATAGTGCAGTAATTAGAGGTCCTCTGCAACACATACGTTTCTAGTTCGATCCCGAGCCCACGAAGCGTTCCATCGCTTTGGGTCGAGAAATTGGCATCAAATTTGTCTGAGAAGATAATAGTTAATACTTAGCACAGACTTGATACACTGGAAGGCAACCACAAGTCTGTATAAGTTAGATATGCATTCAGTCACTTCTAACGATGCCTTGTGAACTCGAATGCATGGCCTATCCCCTCAGGGATTTATCAACGTTGAACGCTTTATTCTTTATGGTTACGAAAATCATTTCTTAAATTCATGATTACGAAATCCTTTATTACTTATGAATCAGCGTAACGGTTTCATCCATTGTTAAAATGTCAGTCTTTATACCATTTGCTTCCATCTCATTTTACCTTTTGCTTTTGTTGAATTTGGCAATTTAAGGTGGGCCTTATTGAACCCGGAAGTTTCCGCACTACAGATGAATTGGTTCGAAACGAAAGCAAAGGTCATGGACGGCTTGAAATTCTTAGTTTGAAGGACGTGCGTGATGGAGAGATAGAAATTTCGTGATCTAACTACCCCTTCCGTACGTGTTATTGTTTTAAATTTTTTGTTTTCACTTGCTTTCTTCCGTTGTGTTCTGTCTGTTGAGCTCCACAGCAAATAATTGGGCGGTGTTTTCGACGGTGCCAATTATTTTCCATACTACTCATGTTTGTACATGACCATTGCTTTTCCAGAGAAACAGCAGTATCCGACAGCGACTGATTGTGCATTGTTGTTCTCTTCCCCTGGATCGTTTTAACTGTTCCATTGACAATTTTGATAACTTCATATATCATTCGTGCACTAATGGTCCTGTTCTGAGCATAGGAAAAATCGCTAATGATGTAATTCGTGTACACTCTTATGAAACATACTGTAACTTGTTCCAAATAAGAGCTTACGCTTGTTCAGGACGAGACGCCATGTCTTTCTGTAAAATACTAGTGATGAAGTTTTATATTAGCAGGTTCAATAGTCTACACCTTTAGTCGTGTGTTAGCGGTTATTCGAGAGAAGTAATTTGAAGTAAACACATGTATACTGTGAAAGAATTACTACTGTTAAGACAAATAACATTCTGTTTTCGTTTTAGTTGAAAAGCTATGACTATATGTACGACTGTATCTCTATTCTTTTCTGTAATTTTAATTCTGTATCACTTAGAACAGTCTAGACGCTTGAACTAATCCGTACGATTTACAATAGTTGGGTTACGTTTCGAAAGTGGGAACGGGATGTTCTTAGTGCTTCTACTAGGACGATTCCTTAAGTGGAGAAGAATAAGTAGATATTTCATATTTCAACGTCTGTGATCCCATCTTAGTTTCGTTATGTTGACTTGGTTGTTGGTTGAGAAGTCAGCTAATATAATCGAAGGTGGTTCACTATCCTATATGTACTATAATATATCCATTCGTGGTACCTAAGGTTTTGCTTACCAGTTCGACCTATAATATTATTCCTTTCTAACAATTTGTCAGCCATACCTACACCTGATGCACCGGCTTTCCAACATATTGAGGAAATACTGGGGAACATAACATAATGATGCCGAGGTATTTACAAAACTCCGAACCGATAGTGTCTGCGGTGGGGATCGAACACGCTATTACCCTTTCCGGGGTTAACGAGTTCACCACCACACCATGCAAGTCCTTCGTTTTGCCTGTCTCTCAACTGTGTTATGCTATCTCAGCATCATTGTGGTTATATTTCACATAATAGCCTGCCACTAAAAAAGAGTAGGCAGTAAATATAATGATACTAAGGGATACTTAACAAATATATTAATAGAAGGCTTATAAAATCATTCTCAAAACTGGTAGAGGTAAGATCGCACTTCAACAATAAACAAAACCATGATTTGCAGAACAATTCATCCGCAAGTTCGAAAACAACAGGTGGTCCCACAAAAGCTTGTTCATCTACCATTTTGAGTGGCACCACATCGGTATGATAGGTTGGTTAGTCATCTGATTCAGTAAGAGTGAAAGATCTACGAAATGTGATATACAACCTTATAAACTCTGAAGTAAGTCATTAAAAACGCGTGATGTATTCATCAACTGTACATATGTTAACACCCTGCCAGTTCATTCATGATAAGGCTAAATATATGTATCTGGGAAATCACATATATCACAGTACTGGGTGCATAGATTACTCTACAAATCAGAAAAGGGATTTTAGCGAATAACACAGACATCTCACACGCCAAAATATTTCGTTGGTTATATTCAATGACAGCGTTATATATAGAGAGCAACGTGTTCAACTCGTTAACAGCAAGAAATCACGATACTGACCAACCGGCAAAGCCACGAGATCGGGAGAATTTGGGATATAATATATGCATAGTTCACCCTATCAACAAAATAAATTTACCCATGTTCAACAAGATGTTCAATTAGGATAAGGAAGTGGTTTTTCGACTCGTTCCGGATCATTTACGACTTCCACGGCTTTCTTATACCACTCTTCACGATTCCTGTGCAGGTCTTCGGTTTTCTTTGAAACCAACTCATCTGGTTTTCCTACAAAGAATGGGGTATTAGATGAAAATTGGCAAATGAAAACTTTGAAATTCTAAAGTTCCATCCATGTTACCGTAATTTGGTGGATTTCTGCTTGTATCATAACCAAGCTTTCTCAGCATCGGTGCTAACTGGTCCACTTCCTCCAAGACGTCCTTCGGAAATGCACTCGCCCATTTACTCAAAGCATCTATATTTACCGGTTTAACAACCTAAAAACTTGGACCGAAATATGTACAGATTGATATATAACTTTACAACCTCGCGTAAGCTTACCAAAGAAAGGATACGTATTGATTAGTCATACCGAGATTAAAGGAAAGTTGGTTTGGAAATGTTAGACTAGAATAGTTAAACAAAAACAGCGGACATACGCGCATTAGTAACTAGAAAAGGATGCGGAGCCTGTTTCGTTTACAACGTACCACTGAGTGGTATATTCTGTAATCAAACGCTCTAACCTGATCTGAGCTTCTTTCAACTTTTGAGAGCTTGACATCTTTTCCTATGTATTCCTCATGATGTAGTACACTTTCATTCCACGGAAGCTTTAAAAAATCCAGTATTCGTCGCATTTGAGGTTCAGGATGCAAAACAAGCTGCTCATAGTACACCTGAATTCCACAGCGAATCGTTTAATTTATTAAAGCGCACTAGGGCTTCACTACCTTCAAACACTTATCACCAACTGTCGTGCATTGCTCATCCATAACTTCCATAATCGAGTTCCATTTTGTCATGCACTGACGGTAATCACTAAGGTCAAACCCAGTGATGGTCACCTGAACTGCACTCTACTTCATTACCACACATTGCCAAGAAATGAGGCAATTCGTTTCCTAATAGTGATGGGAGCTCTCGAAACGGAAATATTTCGACGGATATGGGGTGGGGGATAAAGGATATAGCTCTCGGCGTTGACCAATCCCTGAGGCATGGGCCATGCACTGGACTTCATTGAGCATCGTTTGGAGGTGATTGAATGCATAATCTGGCCTTTACAACGACTCACGGTGGCCTACCGATGTGTCGAGCCAGTGCTGCTGTCCTCCTAGACAAGTTTGGTACTAATTTGCCGACCCCGGTGAGATGGGAGATTTGGTGAGTCAAGGGCGCAGGGATCGATTCCATGTGTATGTTGCAGGGCGCCTCCGACCATTGCGCCACACGCGCCCTAATGGAAAAAGAACTGTTACCTGACCCAAATTTTTATGCAAACGAACCTTTCGTGAGATAATACTATGAACAGTTGCTCTTCCATCTCTTATCATGAAAATATATCGAGCGTTCGGTAACATGTCCGACAAAAATACAGCAGATTTCATAGTCAACGGGTCCTTGTTACATAATCGTGGAGCTGGAGCACCATGACCTGCTATAACCTGAACTGATAATGTTAAAATCATATGTATATTAACGATATCAACTTTTCATGGGATTACACATACGCAAATAATTTTTAAAAAGATGTTGTCAGAAATGAAAAAGCAAAAGGGAACACATGCGTGTGGTCAATACTTCTTAAGTGGTAAAGGTGAATGAAGAAGATTTCAAGAGAACCTGAATAATAAATGAAGCTACGGCACTCTTAAGCACTTCATCTGTAACACCGGCTTCTTGTAGGCGATTCCATTCCTTAAAATAAAAACTTGGACAACGTAGTGCGAAACATAACAAAGGATATTCAACGATTATATCTTAGATAGTACATTAACACAGACTACACTTGTACTCTATACTCTTTTAAACATTGTGCTCTTTCTATAAATACAAAATGCAGTCATCTCCATAAAGCATAAGAGCATATTGACCCATTATACAAATCCTGAAATTACAAAAGCAACGGTGACTTCCTCCTGGATACTTCTATACTTGGACGGCCCGTCAACACTGGTTGTGCGAGGTCCAGCGTATTCTCCATTTTTCGGAAATTTGTTGTTTTAGCCATCGTGTTTCCTTGGAGACATCGACAGCGAAACATAGATGGGCCGGTCACATAATGAGAAGAACAGACGACGTCATCTTGGACGACCACCTACACGTTAGGCGGACGTGTTCGTAAACAAAGTTAATCAGCTGTACCCGCAGCTGCAGTTGTTTTACAGATCACGGTATCAGACTCGCAAGCGTTACCATGCTCGAACAAGACCACCACCACGGACTACAATTGCGAGAGAAAGGAACGAATGGCATATGTGCTGGAGTCCGCACAGCTCGTGAAGACGGACCGTCCAAGTATCCAAGTAAGTTTCCTTGGGGTCCCAAGGTCAGCCCGACGAAAGTCCGCCACAGATCCTCACCAGCACAGGCAGTCGTTGCCTTTGTGGATCAGGTGGAGATTTGCCACCATGCGACAAATTTAGAGCTGGGTACTTGGATGGCCCATCATTACTGGTTATGCTAGCCCTGGCACAATTCCCATTTTGGGTATTTGCTGGTTCAACCAAAGTGGTTCCTACAGTCTCGAGGTCAATCTAGCCAAAGCTTGCCCCAGGTCGTCACCACAGGCAGTCAGTCACCAGTCGCCTCCCTTGTGGATCGGAGGGAGATTTACCAACAGGCGACTAGTTTGATACCACGACGGTGGTGAATACTGGTGTTGGTTTAATCTTAGCTGGACTTCGTGATGGAAACGCCGGACTCAGCTTGGGAGACCCTGCCGGGGAATGAATCCCATCGCTGTACATCACAACCCGACATCCAGGAACACCTCCTAGCCACGATGAGGCAGTAAACCGTTGGAAGAGACTTTTACTATGATAGTAAATTCTGTAAAATTATTCTGATAGGCTGAAGAGAACGGACTTCGTTTATTTTCAATTTTTAATTGCTCAAATAGAAAGGCTGAGATAAAGGATAAAAAGGATAAAGCGTCAGACGTTGATCAAATACTTGGAAAATGCGTCATTCATTCGACTTCATTAAACCTCGTTAGAGGTGATTGAAAGCATATCTTGAACATACACTGAGTCGCGGTGGCCTACTGATGAATCGAGCCAGTGCTGCTATCCTCCCAGACAAGTCTGGTATCATATTTCGGACCCCGAAAGGAAGGAAAGTTTAGTGAAGCTGGGGCCGAAATTGAACCAGTGGCCACGTTTATGTTGTATGGTAGCCCTAATCCTAACAGATGATGACTCAGTCGCCAATGACGCTGAACAAGCTAGAAGGAAGGTCAGTGGCTTTGCTCATTACTACTGAATCATGGAATCGCATCGACTGACGTTGATCGCGAACAGTAAACAATATCTGGCTGATAAAACGTAGCACAAATACACTGATAAAAGTACTTTAGCATAAGAGTAGTAGAAAAAACAGTTTCTACTTCGCGCTAGAGAATCCTATAAAGAAGAATTACCACAGCAGTGAGGAATCCGATGAGGAGATCAATGTGAATATGGACTGTGAAGTGACTTCGGAAAGTTTTACAAATAAATGTTTCATAGATAAGTTTCCTACTAATTCAAGTGGTCTAAAACATTTAAAACATTCAGTTATAACCCAAGGAGCGAAGATGAACAAACTGAACTGGATGGTTCTTTGATTACAGAGAGCACCTTGTACGTGTACCTTACGCATCCAATGGACATCGAAAACGACATGAAGGAAGAATTAGATAGCACAAGGAGCGCATCATGGGCCCCATCCGGGCTTCTCAAAGAATCCACCAACCAAATAATGGACCCGAAACGATGCGCTCACCTTCTCGATTCAGCAGTCCTCCTAGCGCTCTATTATGTAGCAGAGACATGGAATGATACTTCAAACACAAGAACACTGCACACTACTCATAAAGCTCTTGAACGATGTCTTCTGAAACGTAACCGACATATACAACGTCTTCCCGGAATGCACCGCTCAGACATTCGAAACCTATCGCATCATTGAGACCTAGGAGAATATACATCAATGGTGAAAAACATAGGGCAATCACTTAACAAGAACAGATGACAAATGGACGAAAAAAACAGCGGAGAGGACTCCAACAGAATACAAGTGTCCTCTTGGATGAACACCCCAAACGATAGGTGGACGTGTTCGTAACTAAAATCAAACAGCTCTACTCACAGGTGCAGTTGTTATACAGATCACGGTATGATATTCGTACCCGCCACCATGCTCGAATGGAACCACAAACATGGACGGCTGCGCGAGAAAATAACAAGTGGAAAATATGTTGGGGTCCGCACTACTCATGAAAACGGGCCTTCCGAGTATTCAAGTAGAGAAGCAAGTACTAATTCAAATAGCATAGTACAGAAGGTCCACTTGGTTATCACATAAAAAAGTAATACAGTGATAGTGTAGCTTCATTAACTAATGCGAATATAGGCCACCTTAGGCATTGCTGTACTAACAAACAAATTATGGAAACAGAAAACCACGTTAGTAGGCCGGAAATTGAAATATTAACAGACTAGTTGGTCAAAGTTGCAGTGTTACCATAACAGCGCTGAAAGAGAACATAAAAAGTGGACCGACTTTCCAATGTCAAAATGTGATCAAACTATAGTAATGAGTGATTAACTAGTGGCTTGAATGCAACGCTCGTTATCGGTTTCATAATTACAAATTGCTAGTATCTAAAATTAAATAAAAAACATAAAGCTCTCGGCGTTGATCAATCCCTAATGGATGCCCCATGCATTCGACTTCATTAAGCATCTTTTGGAGGTGATTGAATGCATATCTGGCCTTTACTCGCGGTGCTCTATCGAGTCAGTGCTGCTATCTTCTCAGACAAGTCTGGTACCAATTTGCCGACCCTGAGGGACGAACGGCTTGGTGAACCAGGGGCGCGAAGATCGATCCCATGTGAGTGTTGCAGGGTGCCTCCGACCACTACGTCACACTCGCCCCTATCTAAAATTAATGGCTATCAAGCTGTGATTTATAACCATACGGCAGATATATTTTTAAAAAAACCCAATGAACTGATAGCTGCTGTTCAGAATATTGTTTTGAATAATTAAACACTCTCTGTAATTGCGTTAATTTCGTCGAACCTTAGCACTTTTTCTCCATTGTGAGTTAAGACCAAGAATTCGTGGTATCACTCGAGTTTCCTCTCCACATCGTACATCTGGATGTGCGTCAAGCATTGCCCGCATAAGTGTTGTTCCAGATCGTGGCATGCCACCTGCAATCCTTGTGATATCCACCAGTTAACAGTACCTGGTATCTGGTGGACTTACCAATGAATATGAATGCTGAGTATTCGTTTACAGCTCCATGTGATATCGGTCGAAATGAAAGAGTATCACATGAAGGATTAGTTCTTCTAGAAAACATATGATATAAAAATGAACCAGACAGCACCAAGAACTGGGAAAACACTTCTTTCCCGACATCAGCTTAAGAAAAACTTTATGGTGTTACTTCGCAAAAGCTTGCATAAAAATGTGCACAACATAAGCTTCAGTTTACATTCGACATCGAGTACTAAAATAGAACCAAAAAGTAGAAGAAAACACACTCACTTAGACCACACAACCAATATTAACCTTTCATTTGCTGCCTATATGTAACACGCGAGCCCACGGAAAGCGTGATCATGGTTCGATCTCGCCCCGGGTCCTAGTTTTGCGAATATCTCAGCATCGTTGTGGTAGCATTTCACATCGTACCCTGTCGTGAAAAATTATAGTAGGCAGCAAATAAAAGGTAAACATTGTAATTTCGACTACAGCCTCAACCTAACTGGGTTCAATGCCGATCCGTGTTCTCTAGATTAGACTAGAACGTTAGGTAGAAAACTAGCTGAGAGAAACGCAAAGCGACGTCCTCTGTGGCACAGTATGCAATACGTAAGCCCCCGGAAAGGGTAATCGTGGTTCGTTCTGACCCGGGATCCAAGTTTTGCCAATAGCAAATATCTCAGCATCGTTGTGCTCATAAAATCAATATTCAGATCAACACTCAGTTAAATATCTCCGAAGATTTGAATAAAATACACTAACCTCCAAAATAGAAAGGTCATTAAACCAGCCCTAAACATTTGACTAACGGAAAACAACAGTGAAGAAAGAAAACATGGGAAAAAATTAGCCTCTCTGAGCTTGCTTTCTAGGTTACTCTAACTATGACAGGGCAGTACTAACTTTTCTTCTGTTGAAGCTTAGAAACGAAGCACATCTATATGAATTTCTCAACGCCAACCAATTATCATAGAACAATATATAGGGTGAGTTAATCGCGTGGTGTATAAAACTACTAAGAAAGAAAATACCTCCAACGGTATACTGCCTCATCGTGGCTGGGAGGTGTTCCTAGGTGTTGCGATGTACACCGGAGGGGTTCCTCCCACCAGCAGGTTCTCCCAAGCTGAGGAGCCCGACGGCTGAGAGTAAACTAGTACCAGAATCCACCGCCGTCCTAGCATCAAACTTGTCGCATGGTGGCAAATCTGTCTCTGATCCACAAGGGCCGCGACTGCCTGTGGTGGTGACCGACCTGGGGCAGACTTTGGCTAGGCTGAACTCAGAACTCCAGGAAGCCACAATGGCTAGACCAGCAAAACTCCAAAACAATAGAAATTATGCTGGAGGTCGCACAACCAGTGAAGATCGGCCACCCAAGTATCCAAGTAAGCAAAAAAGCTAATTTTTTTGTCATTCATCTTCAAATAAGACAAAAAAATCCTGGAAACACGTTAAATTTCACGTAATAACAAGGAAAACCAATGATAAAATTGTACCTTATGGTATACAGAAAATATATCATACAGAGTGCAGTAATTACTGGTATATAAAGATACTTAGGGCGTCGCATTTTGTCACTTGTCGGCAGAATGAAGCATCAGTCGCGAATTATCTGGAAAATAAAGAATGAAAAATGTGGATGACAGATAAGGGGAAAAAAGTGTACGAATGATCACGAACGACAGCAGTAGTATTATGCTTACAATAACAACCGCTTAGTAACTGTTAACGAGTCGAACACTATAGCTGATAAAGTTTAATCACGCGCACCCAGATGGTCAACGGCAACCGTTTGAAGGTCTTTCCTTATCGTAAGCCACACTCTGCCTGAATTTCTCATCGGCATAACGACTTCCGGTCATCAGCGGATTTGTTCTGCCACTTTAAAAACGGGTTTTCGGAAATGGCCTTTGACAACTGGGTCTTTGTAATCACTAAAACACTGAACAGAACGAACGAAGCATCGAGTAATGCACTCGGAAAATGTGATAGAAAATCACGCTTGATTATAGAGCTTTATAAATAACAAAACGGTGAGTGGTTAAAGAAGTTGCTCTTAATTCGATTGAAATTTAGGTTTTGAGTTTTACTACTGAAGCTACGAAAGTATCTAGCTGAGTTGACTCCGTGTCAATTTGACCTCTCCAGGCTCCGAAGAATATGAGACCGCCCAAACGTTATCCACTGTTGGATAAGCTTAGTATTAAGAACCTCGCTCCTGCTCGTGAATGATAGGCGACAGGCAAAACGAAGGACCTGGTGGTGAACACGTTAGTCCTTGAAAAGTGTAATAGCACGTTCGTTCCCCACCGCAGACACCTGTGGTCCGGAGTTTTGCAGATCTCAGCATCATTGTGGTTGCATCACACATAATACCCTGCCGTGAAAAATTGTAATAGGCAGTAAATAAGAAGTTAACAAGACTCTCAACAAAATCATCGAACCAGAAGAAGAAAAATCAGAGCATGGTGGCGCAAAATTTCCTTTTCAAAACATCCTTAACGAAGTTCACAACATAACGCTAAAAGCTGGAACGCAAGTATACAAGATTGGATTTCTATATCGAAAAATTGAGCTAGTTCACGAAAGAGTTCCGAAAAGTATTACATAAGAACTATTTTGAATGCTGCTCCAAGGATAACAGAAGCCACTGGAGAAACCTTTTTACAACACCACAACAAGCTCAGTGCAAGGACAGAAGTGATAAAGAATAAAGGTCAATCTCTCAACGATGCGTCATGCATTCGTCCTCGTTCGTAGCATCGTAGAGATAGTTGAGTGCATATCTGGAATGTAGAATGACTTGCGATGTCCTATCGATGAATCCGGTCAGTGTTTTTATAATTCCAGACAAGTGCCGTACAAATTTTCCGATTCCGAAGAGATGTATGAGGCTTGCTTAGCCCGAAAAGTGGGATCGAACCAAGGACTGCATGTGTACTCCAGTGCACCTATAAACCCTGCGTTACACTTTCCCTATGGAAGGACACACACACACACGAATACGTGTAAATGTACCAAACGTAGAGGCTATGCATGAACTTTTAAGAGTTCTTTGGAAAAAAAAAACTACACCGGTTGTAGCTGCACAAAAGAAAAACCCACTCATTGGGATACGAACCAAACAACTCTAAAGGTAAAGCAATTTTCTTGAGCCGATTTCAAGTGATATGAACCACAAACAAGTCTTCATTACCTGGAAAAAATAGCACGGTGTTTAGAGTCGTTTCGTAGGAATTTCAAGCAAACATTTAAGAACTTTAAAGTGGAAAATACTTAGCTCATGAATTCTGCAGCAGCTATAACGGAAAAAAGTTCTCATTCTTATGGAGCGGTGTTCCATCTAAACTTTCATTGTTCCCTGAAACATTTTACTTTTTGCTGTCAAATTTATTTTAGACAAAAGTGGAGGAAATTTCGAAACAAAGCGATAGATGAAATCCTTCGAACTAGAAGAACGTAAACAACTCGATAAATTTCACCGTATTCTCAGAATTTTTTAGAAAGCTTCACAAGAACGGATGGATTATCCCAGAGATGAGAAAGAGAGGCAAAAGTGGAGAGAGTTGTGGAAGTGTCAAATAACCGAACGAATGAATTGGAAGGCAGTCACGCCACAACGTTTCTTACAATAAAAATAAGTGTTGAACGGCACATCATTGCTTTCTTCAATTAATCCAGAGCACATGGATCTCATATACCTCTAATAGGCTTTCTTCATCAGTGTGGGGCAGTGGTTGGAGGCATCGCTGCGGCGCACTCGAGGAAATTATCCTCACGCCTATAACCCACCAAGCCTTACATCATTCCAGGTCGGCAAATTGGTACCAGACTTCTCTGGAAGGATAGCAACACTGGCTCGATAAAACGGTAGGCCACCGCGAGTTATTGTAAAGGCGAGATATGCATTCAATCACCTCCAACGATACTTGATGAAGTTGAATGCATAGCGCATCCCTCAAGGAATGATCAACGCCGAAAACTTTATAAAGCTTTGAGAACTTTATTAGCACCAGGTGCGGGTCGCAGAACATCGTCAGTTTGCTTCGTACTTTTCCAACGGTACTCAATATTGGTGGATGGATGTTGGTTCAGCTGGAAAGTGAGTATCTGCGGATTCATAATCTTAACCTTTTTCTTTGCCTACTATAATTTTTAACGGCAGGGTATCATGTGAAATATAACTAAGACGATGCTGAGATATTTGCAAAACTCCGGACTGTTTGCGATGGGAAACGAACGCGCTATTGTCCTTTCCGGGGAGTAACGCGTTCACCACCATACCGTGCGGGTCCTTCGTTTCGCCTGTCTCTCAACTAGTTCTATTGATCGGCGCCATCAGCAGTCACCTGTCAACGGGACTCATCCAGAGAGCCCAAATCGGCAACGAACATAGTTAAGCTAAGGCTGAAGTCCAAACCACGATCTTAACCTTTTTATTTACTGCCTACTATAATTTTTAACGATAGGGTATCAGGTTCGTTGCCGATTTGGGCTCCCTAGATCAATCCCGTTGACGGGTGATTGCTGATGGTGTCGATCAATAAAACTAGTTGAGAGACAGGCGAAACGAAGGACCCGCATGGTGTGGTGGTGAACGCGTTACTCCCCGAAAAGGACAATAGCGCGTTCGTTCTCCACCGCAGACACCTGCGGTTCGGAGTTTTGCAAATATCTCAGCATCGTCTTAGGTGTTTCTGCGGATTTTTTGTCCTAATTAACACATAATAAACACTCATAAGAGACGGTATGCATTCTATACAGTCATATGCGACGCTCGCAGTGGCCGATGTGAGTTATACTGCAATCATTTTCATTCTGATGCCTTATTTTGTCACACAGAACATTTTCCGACAAAATTTTCCTGGATTACTACGTTAACACGAGGCTTTTATTCCTACATCGCTTTTTCAACACTTCTTGTAACCGATCGA